ATGGATGGAAGTCTTCTACAACTCCTCAACAGTGAATTTCCTGTCAAAGTACAGTAACTCTTCCTTTGCGGTACCTTCAAGGAAACTTCAACATCCGATATTTACATGTTGGCTGTCAAAAAAAATGTTGTTTTCACAAGCCACATTATCTGGAAATCAGACCAGGAAAGCAAACAATAAGCAAACATGGATATCCTGGAAAGAACTATGAATTTGGCACCTGCATCAAAAAAGGTTGTTGACTGGCTGCAAGAAGCAAATGAGAAACACATTAAACAGACTATTAAAATCTGGACATTAGATTTGAAGAGATTATGAGAATTTAAATAATATAAATAATATAAATGATAAAACTCATTGCTGAAGAGTTATTTATAAAACATGTATTTTTATGAAAACTTAAAGCTGCATCAATTGATTTTGTGGCCACTGGAGGAGAGACAAAACAAGCTGAAGGAGTCAGTTTTCTGGTGTTATTTATTCACTGGACAGACATTTGACATGTTTGAAGAACACTCTCAGTGTTCGCTCTCTGCCTTTTTGCTTTTGTTTTGGTCTTGCTCAATGTTTGCTTGTGTTCAATAGCTAATTGCTCATTTTATCTGTTGTTGTCTGGTGCCGGGCAGATTGTGTACCGTGGCTTTACCAGATGTTTTTTTTGTGTGTCTGAAGTTGCTGTCTGTGGTTTGCTTGAGTCCCCTTGACTCAGAACAGCAACCTGAAACGCTGGGGAAAGTTTTGGTACGTGACTTGTTGTTTTTAGAAACATGGTGGAAGGAAACAAATGTTTGGTTGACGGCAAAAAATGTAGATTCGTGGTACAATTTCACATGTTACATACCAATTTCAAAAAGGAAAAAAGTGTGTTAGTTTTAGTTGTCAATATAGAATGACTTAGATTATTGTTTCCTTTCAGTTGCCCTTATAACAAATTTCCTTTGCTCTTTGTTGTTAAACAAGCAGTGCGAACAACTATTAATGTGTAATTTCAACGCTCCGAGCAACAAAATAGGACTCATCTTTGCTATGGTGTCCATGTTTTCTCACTTGAAAACACATGAACTCACCAAAATGTAGAAAAATGACTGCCTTATCCAGGAAAACAAGCCACCTGAGGACGAGTGAATACACTATCAGCCTCTACATAAAGTAATGCCATCTAAAGGTTTCAATTTTGAGTTGGGAACAGCTAAAAGTGCTCTGTTTAATAAAGGTGTTTATTATAGCTTATGGTGGACTGTGTAAACTAGTGGGAAGCAATACAACATAGATGTGATTTGTGGTTAAAAGCCTCGCAGATGCGAAACCCTCTGATGTGGTGCTTTAAGCCGTCCCTCACAGCACAGGTGCAGTGGTTTGTGTTGTGTCTCTCTCTTGATAATGACATAAATCTGCTTGAAATGATCAGCTCACTACAGGGAGGGATTAAAGTGCTCTTACACAAAAGCTGAAGCTGCACTTTCTGCCACTTTACCTTTTTTTTCCCAACACACGAGTGTGTAGGTAGCACCCTGTTTGAATGTGACAGCAAAACAACGGGGCCAGAGTTCACTATGATAAGGTTGACTCAATCTGTTACCATGACATACGGGGGTCAGTTCTGTCAGTCCATGTCATCTGAAAGAGATATCTGAGAGGTAAATACAAGATGTTTCAACTTTTGCATGTTTTCTTGGTGTGGCCTTGGAGGAAAAAGTCAGAGCCGTGTCCAGCCTTGAGCGTGAAACCGTCGGTTCCCAGAGGCCCACACCTATTCCCGAGTTAATCGTCAACCGCAAGCGGCAGGAAGTCATGTGAGAAAACACTGGTGGTCTGCTTATAGAACATGGGAAAGCGTGCATTGTGGCAGAGGTTAGTGACAAACCCAGACTCACAGAGACCTGCTTGACTGGAGGAACAATGAGGTTCACACATGATTCATCCTGGGGTTCTTCCTCGACGCCAGCATGATACACTTCTTCAGTGCAGGAAAAGATGCTGTCGTGTGTCAGCAGCGATCAGTGGGCCCACTTCCCCTTCCCACTGCGTCTGCACGGTTCATGTATACAGCTCTAAAGAAAGATTTCTTCCTGCTGCCATTTCCAGCACTTGCAAAGACAATACTGTACGTTTTGAGGCATGGTTTGATGGATGCTCTGTGTCTCTGAGGTTAATGGACACTCACATTTATAGTAATATAACAAAGCTGTGGACTGCGTATGGCCTCTAGCCAAGTGCAGGAGGCCGGTTTTCAAACACCACTCTTCCACTCTCATGCACCTAATTGAAGCCTGGAAAGTAAATGTGCAATGACAGCGACTCTGCATGACAATACATACCAGCAGCTCCCCCAAATAGTCACATGGCCTCTGTTTGTCCCCAACATAAGCACAAATAAATGATGGAAAGATACTAAAGGAGCACTACTTGCACTCACACTTACGCCTTAGAAGTCATCTGAGTAGCTTCTCTAAAGCGCTCAGTAAAGTTGCTCTTGTTAAAACATGCCCAATCCTTTCCCTGCCAGAGCTTTTAATCCTGACAAGGCTGTGTGCCCCTAATTCCCGGAAAGCTGGAACCTGCCATTTGTTGATGGGTTGTGTAGTTACATGCACTGGAGGCCACAAGTTAATGTGCTTCCCCTTATTTTTAGTGCCACAAGCGCTTTACGTGGACAAACACATGTCTTCATATGTAGAAGATACAAAAATCATTGTGCATTTAAAAACAAGTGGTGGTGTCAGCTGATTTTCTGAAGCCCGTATGCAACAGTATGCCCAGCAGTCGGTGATTATCGATGTGAGACCCCCATTGTGTTGATGAGTCCAACGTAACTAAATCCACTGCAGTGCCCAGCACTGTTAGAGGGCTCTTCAGGTAACAATGGGCATGGATTATGGTTAAGAGTCTTATTATTATCTCTTTTATCCCAGGTTAAGACCACGTAACACCTGTTGTTCCACTTGGACTCTTTTGCATACATCATCATATTCCTGCAGATACAAGGAAACACCAGTGAGGCACACTGATGCTGTGCACACATGCAAAGGTCACTCTGTAAATGTTGGTGGAAATGTCCCATTAAGCAGACAGTGGTTGACAACTCATTGTTTGCCTGAGCAGGCTCATCTTTCAAATGCAAGAACAAAAGTGATGTAAAAACACCATTAATCTAATGCAGGAACATGTCAGCACATGTGCAGAGTGTGACAGCAGGGAGGTCATCTGCTGGGAATTATGCTCCTGATGACGCTACAAAAATAATAATAAAAAAAAGAGCTCCAATGTCAGCAGTATCAAAGTGCAAACAGTCACAGGGTGAACTTAACCAATGACCTGAAGTGTAGCTATCCCTCTCAGTATTTAGAACACGTGCATTTGTTGCCCCCAGTAACAACATACAAGAAGGAAAGGACTACTATTTTTTTTTTTTTTAATTGCTGTTATGTTTGGTGCAACACTGCCTCCAACACAAACAGGTCTTTGGTCTACAGCATATTAATACAAGGGGCTGCACAGTGGTTAGCACCGTTGTCTCACAGCTAGAAGATGAGCTGGGATAGGCTCCAGCCCCCCACGACCGTCGTGAGGATTAAACAGAGTATAGATAATGGATGGATGGATGGATGGATGGATGGATGGATAGTTCACTTACCATTAATGGTGCTACATGCACATAGAAAGAGGTCATGTCACCAAACAAAAGGCACAGAGAGGGACTGAAGAGTAAATCATGCCTGCACAAGTGTTGAATCAATGAAAAGTTGATCTGCAGGAGGGTAAATATTTGAAACATACAGATATCCTGAGAACCCTACTGTATTTTATTCCACTATATTAACCCCTGCATTTTGTGTTTTCATATGCATAAAGACATTTCCACCAAAGCTGATGCAGAACATGTACAAATGTGATGCATGAAAACTCCCCACAATGCTGGAAATTAAACATTTGATGCTCAGAGCATCCTTGGGTACGACCTCCAGACCTTCACTTAGTGTCCCCCCTGCGGTGTTGAAAAAAATTAAAGCCCTTTGAAATGAGTGAAATAAATAACAATGGAATAAATACATTTAGCCAAAATAGGTGATGATAAAATCAGTATAGGTTTATGATGAAAATACCATTTGTGGGCAGCATTTGGGCGGCTGTGGCTCAGGTGGTAGAGCGGTGTCCTCTGATCACAAGGTTGGCGGTTCGATCCCTGCCCCTGCAACAGTCTAAGTGTCCTTGGGCAAGACACTGAACCTGAAGTTGCTCCAAATGGTAGGCGAGCACCTTACATGGCAGTTCTGTCGCCATTGGTGTATGAATGTATGTGTGAATGAGAAAAACATTGTAAAGCACTTTGAGTACCACCAAGGTAGAAAAGTGCTATGTAAGTGCAGACCATTGACCATTATAATGCAGTACATGTTTGGTACTTCAAGTACTGATACTGACATCAGTAGGATCGATAACCAAGGAAGCAGCTGTCATTTTCGACACATGAACACTTGTGTGAGCTTTAACTCTGCAGTCAAACATTTATTTACCATCCAGACCGAGGGAGTAATTTAGAAAATTCCCAAATGTTGGACAAAGCATCTGTTCATATGTAACCTTTCGCTGTCGGCTCATAAATCATGCCACGACACGGTATTATTTTATATTGGATTGAAACCAAATTTTGTGGCAACTCCCACCTCGACTACACACTTGTTCAGAGGAAAGCCGTCTTAGGATTTCTGCCAGACTTGACTACTGCCTCCATGTGGCTTTAATAAAGAAAGGCTCAGACCTCACAAAGTAAATGAGCTTAGGCCAATGCCGGAGTATACAGTGTGTAGGTGGAGGAAAGCATTAGAGCTATCATGAAGCTCTAAAGGGCAGGATTACTAAACAAACAACCAGCAAAGTTAGAGCATTAAACAAAACCACTGGTATTGTTAACAGTAAGTAAAAGCCAACAGGAGCACTAGCTGTTTATAGTACTGGGATTTAGCTGCCCTGAAATGAAGGATCTTTGTTCTAAACACAACACTCCAGAAAAACCATATGATTATTGTTGCTTAGAGGAACCCTAATGGCTACATTAACAACAGTAGACGTCCCAGTTATCTGGCACTAACTCCAAATTAAAAACACAGAGGCAAATTCAAACATTTCATTGTACAATAAACCTTTAATAAATAGTTTGTCATTAGTTTCCCATATTTACATAATAACCACCATTTACTTATGTTGCCATACTCATTTCTTGGCTAATTTTAGGCACACAGAGAGGGGGTTCAGGCCACAAACCACATTGTACTAAAAACAGGAGTGGCTAGCAGGTAAGTCTTGAGAAATATATCATAATAATTGCACCATACAACCAAATAGACCATGACGTGGTCATCTCCTTGAGCAATAAATATATACATTTGCTGTAAGTACAGGTGATTTTTGTACATTTACAGTTGTTTGTTTGGAGGCTGTACGAGTGCACATGGGGCTGGTGCAGAATCTTACCAATTTATGTGGGATCAGAATTTATGCGTTCACTTCAGTGTTGATCCAATAAATGATAAATAAAACAAGAATTATATTCAGGGATATCAAATGAACATTAACGGCCTCCTGTGTAGTAACACCCCCTCTGAAATGATAAAAACTATGACAGGTTAAGTCAGTTTGTTGAGGGTATAGTGTGGTCAACATATACAGCTCGACTTGGAACATTCAGTGACTTATGATCTACTGATAAATCTGGGAAAATCAGCTTAACAAATATAACTCACCACTGTGAAATGCTTGTTATTAAATGAAGACCGAGACTGAAAACAGATGGACATTCGATTATTTACCATCTAAGTTGGAAAGAGTCCTAAAAATGACTGGATGAAGTTTTAAAAAGCTATATTAAAAAAAAAAAAAAGAAAAAGAAAAAAAAAATAGCATTAAAACTTAAATGTTCAGCCAAAGAAATTAAGACAACAGAAAGAAAACAAAACAAAACAAAACAAAAAACAACAAAAAACATTCAAATCACTCAAGTGCATAAGCACACAGACACACGCAGTACAAAAAAGCAAACCAAAAAATTTTGGCACAAAATATGACACACATTTCAGTTCAGAAAAATGTTAAACAGCATGAAATCCACTGTTGGCTAGAAGAGGCATATATAAATGAACTGTTCAAAGTGACAATTTACCAGTTTCTAACAGTATGTGAACAAAGGGAACGTGTCACTGATACTAAGTATCAAAAACCAGGCGCAGCACCAGCAGTCACAGGCCTGCACCTAAAGTCCTAACTGCGCCACCTATTGACAAGAAAAACAACAGCAGACAGACATGTGGGCCATTTACAGGGAAGAAAAAGAAGTAAATATTTTAATAATTAGAACATTCTCATGTGTTGTTCAATTTAGTTGAATTTGTTCAGTGGATGAATTTCGAGAAAAGGTGGCAATTTCAACTTAATTCTAACTGTAGTTTGTCTACATTAGGGGTTGTTATTAAAATCCATGGTGTATTTTGAATGTGGCGTGTTGGTAATAGGCATTGGCAGCGACTGGACACCATCATTTCTTCAACTACAAGCCTAAACCACTGCTGTTCTTGGTTTCGCTCCTATAGGTGGTGCAGGCTGGCATCTGTAGAGCTCGTCTGACGTGACCAAAGTGCTCTCCTTCGTGGAAAATCTGCAGCCTGTTAAACACGAGTTACCAGCCAGGTTCATGTGGTGCTTCGTGTCAAATAATTTCAACCGTTGATTGTTAGTTATTGTTTAAGAAATATGCAGTGCCCCATTGTAACTGTTAGGGATTATTTCAAACCGTTGTAGTTTTTATCCAGTTACAACTGCAGAAATCATTATCCACCTCACCACATCACACATAAACTTTAAATTTCTACTGCAGCAGCATGACTGATATTCTGTTGAACCTAATGATATTAATTCAAAGACTCTGTATTAACAGTCAGTGCCAACACTGACATGCCAATGGCAACGCTCTAGCTCCAAATGGTCCAGAGGCTTAAAATAAAACCATTATTTTGTAAGCCTTAACCCTGATGGTGATAAATGTCAGGAAACAAAGTAAAAGGAAGGGCATGAATACAAAGGAATAGAAAGTGTGTAACGGCTCCGATGGGAGCGATAGCGTAAGATTACAGAGCCTTCTCAGACCTCGGTCTTCATACAGGTTACGTAATGTCTCTAAATATATTTATCTTAAGTCACTTCAAGGCAACATTTGTTTCTTGAATAAAAACTTGAAGCACAACAAGCCTTCAGTTCGAACAGAGAAAAATATACAACCCAAACTACTACTAATCTAGAGAATGGCAAGTAAACATTGAAAAACCGTTTGAGCTAATAAAGTGGTCTCTCTCCTACACTTCCCTCTGTAAGAAGTGTGATATTTAAACAAAGTGTGGTCCTAACAAAGCTTTTCGTATCTGAACTGGTTGACCATCCTAACAGAGATTAGGCAGGGCCTCCCTGGTTTGCAGAGACCCCTCTCACAGGTGAACAGTTGCTGTGCTTCCCTGTTGTGCACACAGAGGAAGAACTGTGTTCCCTTCTTGGATGCTTTAACAGAGCTGCAGTTGCAACAACAAGCATCTGAACAGAAGTTAGCTTGTGAAAGAGCATTACACAAGTGCTCAACTAACTGTTTGTCACACTTGTTGGACAAACAAAATTGCCACTTGACTAACTAAAGAGGAATATCAAGAGTCACACAAAGATTTAGTAACATTTGAGATATACCCCAACTCGCACTCTTAACCAAAAATACTTCGGTTCTGTTTTGCACCAGGAGGGGGGCAAGCCGTTGTACGCTCCACTCTCTTACAGCTTTAGATAGAAACGAAAGATTGGAGTCCAGCTCAGCCATACAAACACACATCTTTCCACTGCAGCCTGAAAAATACTCAGCACGCTCTCTTCATACAGGGTCTTTAGAGAGTCCTCACAATACCCTGCTTTCAAAAGGACAAGGGCTGCTAGGGAATGACTGCCCACTTTTGTGCTGAGGACACAATCACACAGACACAAACACCTCTTCTTGGCACTTGAGTCTGATGTGTGCCTGAGGTGCTTGTGTGTCCATGTGGTAAAATGTGTGTATCTGTCCATGTGTGTCGGGGCTTTTGTGGTGGAGCATAGGGAGTCCGCCCCCCTTAGCTGAGGTTATACGCTGCTGTCCTCTAGCAGTGGCTCCTTGCCCTCGGCCCCGCTGCCTTGGGGGCTGTGGGAGTGACTCTGTGCCCCGTTGCTGTGCTTCTTATAGGCGCCAGGCCTCATGCCAGGCCCCGTGTGCTCCGGGATGAACAGAGCCACCAACAGAGATAGCAGCACTGAGCATGCACCAAAGAGGAAGGGAGGACCTGGGATGATGGCACTCTAAAGGGAGACATGACACATACATCAGAATGGTGGTCAAATTCTGATCATGCACAAAATATGCTTGTAGATGGCTCAACCCTCTCAACCCATAGCCAGCCGGCAGAAAGACATGACCAAAATTACACAGTTTATCAAGGGAAGAAACTGTAAAAATGTCTCCGGACATTCGGTTCCAATTGCTCCAACGTGCTGGAGTGGGCGTGACGCACAGGCCCCATTTGACTACTGAGACCACTTTCTGTGTTTAGGTCAGCGGTGATGGCTCCGTTTCCACGGCGGCGGGGATATTCGGAGATCAAGTTTGATATCCCGATTCCAGCACAGCAAACGAATAGTCGGCTATTTGGCTATTCGGGTCCAGCCCTACTATGTTTAATTATTTATGGCATTAGAACTTTATTATACTATACAAAAGAGATTTTTACATTCTCTGTGCTTGTAGCCATAGTTGTGGTGTTTCCACAGAGGTGCAGCAAAAAAAATGCTCAAAACTGCTTGGGGTTCAGGGGTTAAATGTGTTTTTCAGTAAAACTCACCTCATCAGTTGGGTTGGCCATGTTAAGTTTGGCACCTTTATCAGAACCGTCAGTGTCGGTCAGCTCCACATGGAATAGGTAGAAGACGAAGCCATAAAGAGCAGGACCCAAACCGTTACAGAGGCCCCGTATTCCAGTAATCATCCCCTGGACAACACCTACATGTGACACAGAAATATGGAAGATTTTTACTCGGTACATTTTTTAGAGGATAATCAGAATGAGAATTGCTGTTATTTATCATACAATAGGCAAAGCATGCAACATAGTGTGTCACTTCTCTGACAGCAGTGACATCTATTTTTTTAATTATTATTTTTAATTTAAACAGATGCATGTTCCAGATTTTGAACTGATGCATGTCTACTTTAGACTCTCCCACCTTCCAATAATGTGCAAGTGTGTTTGTTTTGCTTGAGCACAGATACCCTGCATCTCATAAACTGAACATCTAGCACCCCATACCGAAAACTCAAGAACTGAACAAAGGCATCAAAGTCAATAAATTCCTACAACTGTGAGTAGAAAATAATAATTCAAATTTCTTTTAGGGTGCAGGATATTGGATTTTTGCCAATATTTTCAATGTCATTTTTGCTAATTTGCTAATACAGCATGCACATATTCTTTTTCCTACCAAATTGCAGAGAACATAAAGTCTCTCTTGCAGTGGAATTAACATAATTATACAAACATAAAAGACAATACTTCAATTCACATCTAAAACATGCTTAACTCATTTTTATTTATTTATTAACTTTAAAGCCATGATGAACCGATACAGATGATTAGGATGCTGATATCACTGTGCATCACTAAATCTTTTGGCTAGTTTTACACTTTATTAGGCAAAGTTGTTATAAGGTTGTTACAAGGACAAAAGCAAACACTGATGCACTCTTAACATCTTTTTTTTAACTAGCAGAAAATGTTTATGATCATTAGGTTAAGATACTGAACAAGTACCATTTTGGAGCAGGTATTTGGTAACAGGTTTTGTTTTACGTCTTATTAGCATTGACACAAATCCCTGCAAATACATGCCAACAAATAGTTAGGAAACTCGCCTTGCTGGTCAGGGTCTGCATTACGGGACACGATGGCGCTGATGGCAGGGAAAGTGATGCTGGACATGGCTGCAACGGCTCCAGCTGCCCACATCATCCTACAACCGACAACACATTTATGTTAGGAACACACACAGACACACTTTTGCAAAACTGGCTGTATACACGTCCTTGAAGGTGACCTAAAGGTCATTAGGCCTGCTATTGTTAAAACAATCAGGCTGAAAAAATCCAAAAACAGAAAAACACCTATTTAACTAGAAAACAACTTTAGAAATCATATCACTTCATTTTAATTTCAGAAGTAGAGACACTGGATGGAAAACACCCTGTTCCCCTTTATTGTGAACACGGAGAGAATTCTCCTCTTAATACATAACATAACCAACTTGACCTTTATTTAATTTAATTTCCAGGGTATTGACCAAAGCAGAGAGTAGCAGTGAGGAGCCATGTTGTCAATGTTTCCATTTAGAATCAATAGATATTATGCTCACTGTGCCTTCTCCTCAAGGCCAAAACAAGACATACTCAAGCTATGATCCCACTTTTACAGAAATGAAACTGATAGTGTGATCTATTTGTGTGACTAGTGATTGTTATGCAACAATGCCTTTCTTCTCTAGTGGTGAAAAGTAGCTATGTACACTTAATCAAATACTGTATTTAAAAATAATTCTAAGGTACTTGCACTTCACATCAGTACTTTTATTTCATGTTGCTTTGTACTTTCATTCCACATTTCAAAGGGAAACATTGTACTTTCTACTCAGCTACATTTATCATAGTGTGGAGTCATACATATTACAGATGCCTGTTAAGTTAACAGTTTACACCTCCACCAAATAGTCATTTTGTTATCTAAACTTTTTACATGGTTTTATTTCAACAACTGTTCAAATGATCAGTCAAAGGCACCAAACCAGTATTACTGTCATACTAATTACAGTTTGCTGAAAATACTTGTACGGTTATTAAGATATGATGCAGGATTTTTACTTGTAATTTTTTTTTTTTTGACTTTGCTGTGTTGGTGCTTTTACTTAAGTAAAGGATTCAAACTGTTTAAAGAAAATCGACACACAAAAACAACTGTATTACTTTTAACAATCAGAAATCATATTTTGAAAGGCACTGACCGTCAAACTCAAAATTCCAACTTGGTAAAACGTCTGTTAGGTTATACCATATGTGAGGCCTTCAGAAAGTCTCAGTTACTGCAACCTAAGGCTATGCTTCCCTCTAGTGGCTTGTTAGAGCAGTGAAACAAGTAAATAATAATTTAGTTAAAAACAAAACATAGCATTTCAATAATTCTGAAACAATAATATCTCTGTTTATCGAGGGAAAGAGCCTGAACAGTAGATTTTAATGATTCTAACTACAATTCTGTGAAAAGATTTGATCTTATGAGATCCTGCTTCAAGTTCTAGGAACATTACTTGAGTGAACAACAAGACAAAAATATATGGCCTCACATGTTAAATGTTTGCTGTTTTTGTTGGGTTAAATAAGTCAACACTCACACAGTAGCATAATGGTTTCACAACATACAGCAGGAAATGATTCGTCAAGACAAAGATCCGTCTTGGCTTGAATTTCTATTCACTCAGTAATGATATTTTACTGCGTCATTATCTTTTGAGAAGCTTAGCCACACTTCTGAATCTAAACTTCATGTATACATGCGTTACCAGCGATCATGTGGAAGTGCAGGAATAAGTAGAATAAAGAGAAGCGGAAAACCCAACCCCCGAAAAACAAAACATTAACAGATCTCTTGTTCTTCAAAAAAATACATTTGAGGTCAGAACTGCTCAGTTTTCACGCATTCAACCAGCAGCGCCCTGTTTACCTTGAGTTCTACCGAACTGAATAAAAAAGGAGAGGTGGGGCATGAGCACGTGTTAGCAAAAAAACAAAATAAAAAATTAAAACAATTACTGACCAGGGCTGAGAGCCAAAGCCGTACCAGGCCAGCTGGAGGATCTGGAAACCGAGGCCAAGCAGGATTGTGTTCTTATTTCCTATTGAACGCATCAGGATCCCCAACACAACCGTCTAAGGACACACAAGGTATATGAGACAGTCCTTAGCAGGCCTTGATCAATGTAGGAAATGGGTGTAACAATTTTCACTCTTCAGTCCTGACTCTGATTTACAGCTCAAGTAAGTATTTGACAAATTAATTAGTTATTCAACAGAATTCCAACAAATCAATGACACTGGCCAATTTAAAATACTTGTTTTCCTTTGTTTTCAACCACATTAAATAATAACCATTAACAAGAACTACAAAAGTAACTTTGGGGTTTCTTTTAAATAAAAGAAAAAAAAAACAAAACAAGTTGACCAAGAAAATACTCAGCTGTCAATGGAAATCATCACAAAAGTTGAGCAAAAATAAGTTATCCTTCCGATCTCTGAAACCTGCCACGTTAATGTCTAAAAAAATACATAAAATAAAAATGACTACAATTACTGTACACTATTTATCAGAGCAGGCAACTAAAAACAGAAAGAACCATTACATTTTTAACTTTCTGTCTGTCCTTAAACTCTGTGTGACTTTTTGTTTGTAGGGAAGCAAAAATCTGAGCTTATAAAAATTGGCCAAAAATAAATCCTGTGCAGTAATCAGACTCTATAAATAAAAAATTCGGTGTCCTACACGCAACTGACAAGATATTAGTGGCTCAGCTGCTACCAACAGTCACGTGACAAAGCTTCAAGGGCTTGCCAGCTGACCTACAGGTTGTGTTTACACCGAGCAGATAGAAGAAAAGCATGGAAACAATTTACAATTGTAAGTAGTACAATATCTATAGGATGTAGCGTAATCATTTTGTTGCAAAAATATTGTACATGGTGATTCCATTTTTGATTTAATTTTGCAAACTGAATAATCAACTTTTGTTTCTTAGGATTTATGACATTATAACATAACACTATACAAAATTACATTTTTAGTTGTCTCTACTTCTGGCCATGGTTGTGTTGTTTCCACAGAGGTACAGGATTTTGTGAAAATTAGCCCACAGTAAGTAAAATGAGACAGAAAAAAAACCCTCCCAGAAACTACTTGGGATTCAGAGAGTTAAACTACAACAGGAGAAGGCTCAATATAGCATTTAGATTTATGTTGATAACAAAAGTACATTTTCAAGTACCTGGGCTAGTATCGAGAGGATCCCCACAACTGCGATGAAGGCAGCCACTGTCTCTGAGGAGAAGCCTATGACCTGAGGGTGAGAGAGCGTCAGTTAGAGCACAGGTTAGGACATGACTGTCTGAGATGTATCTCCACACAAAGCCTTTACCCGTTTTCCAACAAACACAATAGAAGAAGGGGGTTCTTTTGTTAACACATGCTGATCACTACTTCATTCTGAGAAAAAGTACTTGTCTTTATCCTCCTGGTGAATGCAGGCCAGATATAGTGCCCTTTATCTAAAATAATACAGGCAGCAGCAGGAGTAGGGCTGCTGATTCGGGGTGTGTAAAATTTATGACAATGAATGTATCGATATAGATAATAAAGCAATTTCGGGACAAAGGGGACAGAAGGTGTGGTGAGTAATATTAGCCCCAGTGCTCCAGAACTACTACCTTTATCAAGATGGTAGCAGAGAAGTATGAGCCTGTGTGTGATAGACCTGCCTAACTGGTTTATCTGAAGCTGTTTACACAAACTTAACAATTTTCAGTTCAAGCAGTGAGCTAAAAGAAGGAGATCACACCTCCTCAGTTCACCTCGAAGCTGCCAGCTGCTACCAGATGCTACCCAAACTGTCCAGTTGTAGCTGCTTGTGCCTAAAATGGCACTGGTTTTCAAGTCTGAACGTTGTGTTAAGAGATCTAATGAATCTGCTCTACTTATTCATACACTGAAAACAGGCTACTCAGCAAACCTGATAATCTTGGAGCAATGTAGCTAGAAGTGTGTTGTCTGCAATTTTCCCCTAGTTGCATTGAGATTATTCTATGAGCTTTCCATTAGCAATTTCAGCCTTTAATAAACAACGTAAATGATTAAAGCAACATACAACATGCATATTTTAAGAACAAATGTGTTGTACAAACCAAAACATGACATTAAAAAAGCAATGTCCTTGATTATGTATATGTTAGAAAGACGTTTTGATCCATTCTAAACAAACATCTAATACCACATTGAATAAGTGCGGTTTCCATGTGGTAACAAGTGCATGCTACGTATCTAAATAGTGATACTGTGTACCAACCAGTCTTTCTGGGAATGTGTAAGCAGGGAATGTGGAGTGTTACCTGTCTGAGATAGAGGAAGAAGCTGGAGTACTGGCCGGCCTCGGGGAGGTAGGAGAGAAACACTGTGATACAGATGAGAAGCACTGTGGAGTCCTGGCCCACTTTACGCAGAGACTAACCAAGAGACAAGCAAAAAAAAAGAAAACTCATTGCAAGAATTCAAAATGTGAGCAATGTCATTGGCTTCTCTGACATGCTGACCTAATCAGTGTTCCTTATTCCATAACCCCTCAGCAACAAAGGCACCTCTACTGTCCTGTGTCCTGTTATTATCATCGCAAATACTGAAACTGTTTGGCTGATGAAGTCAAGTACGCAAATTAAAACTTTATGTGCATATATGCTATATATATGCCAACAAAATGTTTACAAGCCCATATGTACACTTTCGTAGATTGCACTTTAAGCACTTATGACACCTAATCTGTTTTAATCAAATGAAGTATCTTAACTTTCCTCTTACAAATTTCATATTTGGGCTCGTGCTACGTCACAGTAGACAGATAGTTACAAAAAGAGAAACTTTTACTGAAGACATTTATTTTGAAAGATAGTCGACTTGACCAATACAGACCGCCAAAGTCTCATATTAATGCAAGATAAATTTTGGAATTAATGTTTGCAAAGACCAAGGACTGTGGATTTTGTCCTACCACAATAATTAACTACTTCTTTAATTGTTTTCACAATTTCAGGTAAATTAAAATTTCATTAATGTACTGAGGACCAACATCAGATCACATCTAATCAGAAAAGCACAAAACTACCATACCAGGCTTGACTACAATTACTGCTTCATGCTGATTGGATGCCTTTGCCAACCAATTTTTTTTATTAAATTTGTCTTACATACCAAGTTGCACACTGTTTCATCTTAATAAGACAATCATTTCTTCTCCTGTTCCTGAGGTATGGCATTATATAGTTGCTGGAAAAGTTTGTTGGCAGTCACAGTTAACTTTTGACTTTTTGAATTTAATGCATCTGTCATCTTTTTATTCTATTGGTTTTTAAATTTTTGTCATAATTAGTGTACAAATATTTAAGTTACAGCCAAAATCATGTTTTTGTTTTTTTTTTAAGTTATTTTTTTGGCCTTTGTGCCTTTATTGGATTGTGTTAGTGAGAGAGAGACAGGGGGGAGGACATGTGGGAAAGGGCCATGAGTGGAATTTGAACTCATGACCTCCACATTGGGACTGTAGCCCTGCACATGGGACGCCAGCTCAACCAGGTGAGCTATAGCGGCGCCCCCAAAATCACGTTTTTTGAGGTCACATTTTGATCACAAAAATCTCATAGTTTCATTGCTGAGTTAAAGAGAATGTTTCTGCCAAATTTGTAGAAATTGTCTGACGGTGTTCACGTCTTTTCACAACAATGGGACAGATGAATGGACAAATAACCTGAGAACAAAGTATCTCCTGTAATGGCTGTCACCGGCACAGAAGCATAACAAAGATAAACTACATTTGCTTTTCTTTAAAAAGAAACAAGTCTAGCTACAGAATTATTACCTTATTAAAAAGAATTTATTGCAACTGAGGTGTTCTGGTCATACATTAATGCGTTGCTATGTAATAACCAGTGATTGAACACTAGAAGTTTGTCTTTTTTCTTTGTCGCGGTTGAGAGAATTTGTTTGTGGACAGCCTGACCTTATACAAAATATGCAGCAACGATTAAGTGTTTTCTCAGCAGGCGGCTCTTTTCTAAAACAGACAACATTCAAATATTGAGGTCTATTCTAGTGTGAATTAAAAGCATTCACCACACAGCTTAGCCCTGAATTATTATCATGGTAAGATGTCCTTATTCAAATCAAGGACTGATAGCAGATAAATCACACCACAAACAACTGCTGTTTATGTGGAAACATTCTGCGCACAATGCTGGGATACAATTGACTGAAATTTATCAATAAAGAGTATTGTGCTGTTACTCACAGCAAAGGGGTCAGCCTGTTCCCAGGAGATGGGGGCTCCCCATGATGCTGGCCTCATCTTCTCTGGCAGCGACTCCGGTACGGCCACTAGGATGAAGCAGATGTCAAGCAGGGCGATGGCTGTGGCCAAGATCACCACCAAGGTGTCGCCGTAGGCTACAGACAGGTAGGCTCCGATGGCCGGGCTGGTAACCAGGCTGGCTGCAAAGGTTGCTGATACCTGAGGGGACAGGGAGATAAAGCTCAAGTGAGCACAACAAGAAGCAGTTGACCATTTCTTTCAAACTGTCAACTTAACTCTCTGGTTGAGGACACTATCTGAATTTTTGAATTCACAAACTGTCATAATCTGTTTTATTCACACATCTCCTCACCAAACCATATGCCGTACTCCTCTCATGCTCCTGTGTGATGTCTGCCACATATGCAAAAATCACAGAGAAGGTGACAGCAAAGACGCCAGACATGGAGATGACTGCAAAGTACCACCTGAAAGACGAAAACAGTTGGTCTTGTGAGCACAGGAAAAACAAAATGGTTGCACTACAACTAAACTCCGTTACATTCTAAATCTTATTTTTGTGAAGTGTTTAATCTTGGTAACTGGCAATTTGGTGTTGTTCTTCACTCTTTAATAGATTATATTATGGAATGTTGGGCGTTCCAGCCAGCATGGAACAAAATTTCACTTTCTACATAAAAACAAGACTGAATAATTCTACAATCATGTCAACATTTTGCACTCACCATGGGCTGATCTTCATCAGGGGAATGGGCGCACATGTGAAGAAGACCGTTAGCAGCAAGAAGGACTTGCGTCCCCATACGTCTGACAATGCTCCAATCAGTGGAGCGCTCAGAAATGATAATAGGCCCTGGAAAGGAAGGATGGATGGATGGATGGATGCACAGATAGATGACATAGGACAGAGGTATCAGACAACTGTAGGCCAAAAAATAACAAGACAGAAGCTTCTACTCAAATTCACAAGCACTGTGATTCAAGTACAGGCAGCCCACTTTTGAAACTCAAATTTTGAAATCCAAGTATGACACTGCATTTATTACCATCATTCAAGTGTAGAAATGAACACAGTCCCCCTTGTAAAATTCAACAGTTTCATCTTCAAATTTGTCCTTAGTTGCCACCTACTCTAAATAAAGACTTGAAACCTGAGAAAACATAACAATGAAGCACCCAAGGCCAGCGGGTGTACAGTCTGATCTGAAGTAAAACCTCTGAGGGACATACTGACACGTAATGAGGACAAAGATCTTTAAAATATTGTCAGCCTGATAAAAGAAGTAACTTATTTAGTATTTGAAATAATAGCTTGTTTTCCTGTAACCACAAAATTACTCACGGAGGCATGTGTCAGCATGTGAAATAAGTTTGTCTTTTAATTGTGCTTTGACCAAACAATTGTCATAATCTGGTGGTCACTCATAAATTTGTTAATCAAGTTAAACTTCTGAACATTTCCTCTGGATTAGGGAGTAGTTACTGTATATCTCAATTGCAGCTTGTCATGCTGACATCACAACAGAATATTAACTCTGAAATAATTACAAACACATCTGCTCAACTTATCTTTAGACACTCGCTCCTCCCTGAACTAAATAACTACTGCCAGCTTGAAGCATTTCAGCCTCAAATGTGCTAAGCTGAGCTATGCTTTAGTTAGCTAGGAACCTGTTAGTGTTCACACTTAACTGCATTGGTGGTGAGTGATGAACAAGGGCACACATGCTCAGCATAACTTCCATGAACAAAATAAAAGCAAAATGAACTTGCAATGCTGAAGAAAGATGTTAGTTAACAGCTGCAGTTGTAAAAATCAGTTTTCTGCTGGTTTGTCTTGCTGTATGGCTTCATTTAACAAACCAAACAAATAGATGTCATATTTGATTAAGTCACAAAAAGTATTACAAACTGCAGAAGTACAATGAATTTAAACTACTAATCATGTCCACACAGAGAATTTAGGGACTACCGGTAACTTATACGGGCTACTTTGGCTCTGATGCAGTCGTCGTTCTCTGTCTGTGTTCACTCTGTGGTCTCCGCAAGTTGCCCACAGTTCTATCTGATTGGTTACACATCACAAGTAACAGCCAATTAACACACTGAAAGCTACTGTGTACAGACAGGATGTGCAGTTTCCCCATTACACTGAAAATGATGCAACATTTCACTTATTAGTGAGTGCAACTGAAATTTATTTTGCTGACAACCCGAGGCTAAGGCTTAGCTATCACGAAGATGCTTATTGTAAGGCCTGTGGCTAACGCTATCTGGAGCACCTGTAACATCTTTCTAAAGTAATACTAATTTTAACAGTCTGGTCTAACTAACAGACATGTCTGTCTAGCAGAAACATAACCCACAAAAACTGACCAAGAAAAACAACCTGTTGCCACAAATCAGGAAATTAGCTGCTTTAATAGTGGCTAACGGCTAGCGGCTAAGTTAGGAGATTGTCACTGATTACCCTAAAACAGTGTCCGGAAAACAATAAGAGATAATGTTTTGAGAAACGGGCTTTAGTGAGCAATTAAAGTGATAGAACAGGAGAAGATTAGGAAAACAGAGAAGAACAGCAGACTTAACCACAAAAGAAGAGGAGGCAAACAGTTATTGATTTCTTTGTGAACAGAAGAGTGTCGTAACGTCCCCTGACGTTCTGACGTCATCACGTCCATTGTTATTGTACACATTCAGTTACGGTAAACCTTAATGAAGAAACCTAGTTATGATTGACAGCTTCCTTGCTATCGCATTTTGTTAAAATACAAAACTGATTATATATTGGTTTTAAATATCAGTTATTAGTCTGTGTTGTTTACTAGTAATTAGCATTGGCCCTGATAAACCCATGTATGTCCATCCTTAATCCAAATGTCTGCAACAACCATGCATTTGAAGTCATTATATACAATCAAAGATACGTCCTGCTACTGAGATATTGTAAATATAAAGACCAGAGATAAAATGTTAGAATTCAGGACTGTGTTCTGTTACTTTGCATGCGTCACTGGTATATTTCTATCATGATTAGACATAGGCCTGGTTAACTTGTTCATGTGTCATGTAATCTCTTACCTTCACACCATGAATAAGTCCATTCATCAGGAATGTGTGTTGGGGGAATGTCTGGTGTAATACCTGGGAAGCAAACAAAGACAAACCTAGATGAAACCAGATGATCCGCAAAGTCAGCATCACAATGTTAACAGTAGATCAGTGTTTAAAATGTGGTCTATGTGTTAAACCTGAGTTTGGGGGAGTAAAAAGATGTGACCACATTGTACAACAATCGGTGAAAGATGCTAAACCCCCATACTAAAAGTTGGTTTAACTTATGTCCATAGAGGTCATCTCACCACAGATTACTACACTACTGACAGCCGGTACTGTATGACTCCTACAAAGTGCACAAAGTTACAATGCTATATGAATTCACCCATTTCACTGTTTCATCTCATTTGATAGACAGTTTTTTCCTGTGTTCTTAAAAACTGCAATGGATCCCAAAGATCTCACTTCATCTGAAGAGCTGTTCCAAATTCTAGCACCCACACATCCAAATGTACCTTATCTTTTGAATTTTGATTACATTTCAAATATACCCAGTATTATACCTACATTGATCTTTAGAATGCCCAAACACCTGCAGAAATTCTGGTGCTTGGCCATTCAGGTATGGCTTGCTGCAGCATGATTTGCCTAAATGCCAGGATCACTGTGCAGGTAAACATGGTTGACATTCCTCATGTGAGCGCTACATCTCGTTAAATTTACATTTATACCTCAGTAATAAAAGCTGCAGGCAGCCTTTTCTAGGGGGCTACTAGAACTACTAGAAAACCTGGATTCAGATTCATTCTCAGTCCCGGTCACTGTCTATCGTCAGAAATTTTCTTGAACATGTTCAAGCATTAACTAGTATATTAGGAGAAAAAGATTGTAAAGTCTGTGTTTTTTTGTTTTCGCCTGGCAGCTAAATCCACAGTTGCAGTTGTTTGAGCAGTTAACTGACCCAAATAGTTTCCAAAACCAATGAAGTGGCCAGTTTTGGTCTGTACTAGTGTTGTCATGGTTACAGAATAATTCATGGCTCGAGACTGGATGACTGAATAGTTTACCTGTTAAACACCATGATTGTTTCACTGTGCTCTGTTTAATGTGAACATTTATTACTGTAGTAGTATGTCTGAAATAGCTAGAGTGTAGCCAGAAACTGGAAGCTTTACGGCCTCATTCAACGCTGCTATCAGGTTGTGAAAGCTGCCTATTATCAATCGTAAATGTTTGTTAAATCTTTTACACATTATAATATTTGATGACACAGTAACATCAGTTTATTACTGATAGAAAACTGTTATGTTAAAAAACATTCTTTGCATACAACAAAGTACTCAGAGAACGTATACCTTTCAAGGCTGAACAATTCTCTAGACTGCATTGTAATTCTAGAAAATTAGGTTCGATGTTGTTACATCAAAACATTTAAACAATATAAAGTTATGACTGTAATTGTAAACATTTAAAAACAAAAGCAAAAAAAAACCCAGAAAACCCTTCTGTTGCGGTCAGACTTGGTTAACAACTGCTGTCCCACAAAAAAACAAAACAAAAAATACCACAAAAAACATAGTAATGTATTTCAAGATATATGCAGCCAGATGTTGTTTTCCTATAGTGCTTTATCTCTGTGGAAATAGACAGAAAATGGTTGTGTAGGGTGTTCAGATAGCTAAAAACCACTAGGCGTTGAGTTCAAAGTCCATAACATCAGTGTGCAGCAGGTATTGCGGTTAAGTGTCATTGACGCTGTTGTGAGAACATGAAGCTTGGGTTTAATTTAGGACATGTGGAGCCTGACTGGGACTGAACAACAGGATCTGGTTATTGTTCAGGGGTACAGAGAGAAAAGCTCATGGCATAGCTAAGAATCCCCTCTCTTCCTCTGGGAGTCAGCTACCCAGCACACACACGCACGCACGCACACACACACACACACACTTTGAATGCTCAGTGAAGACTGTTGCTGCTGGATACTAATGAAGCAGTGTGTTCACTGGGAGCAGTGAAGCAGTCCTTCTCATCTTCAGGCAGCCTCTGATTAGTCCAAAATGCAAATCCTGCCTTTGCCCAAGGATCGTGAGGGCAACAAACCCCCAGTGATTAATGCTTAACAGTTACACATACAACCACCTCTGCAAATAGGAGACTGCTGAGAAGCATGCATTGCATAAGCCTGTCTGGTTCATATCATGTGGCTTGCAGATGTTTACTCATCATTTGTTTGAGATACCAGTTTCTCCCCAAAGTAATTTATGTTGGAAGTGAAAAGCATGTAGATACAAAAATAAGACAGGAATTCAATAAATGCAGAATTTGACAGAGAGACGAAAAGCTACAGTAAGAAGAACAAAAAATATTAACAGACAATTCCTGCTGTCATAATGTAAAGCATATCATGGTTATAAATCATCGTACTACTTTGTTTATAAAAACAGATTTTTAACAAAGCATGTGTCTGTGTTTTACCAAGTTTCTGTGTGCAACATTTGGAGTATAATTTTTCTACATAATGGTGTTCAAATTGCCTGTAGCAAATACTGAAACCACACTACATTACGCTGCTATGCAGTGCACTGGGGTGAATGTGTCGCATGGTTTGCCTGGCCAGCATCTGTGCTGTGGGCTGACAACACAAACCAGCCCAGTGACCCCCTGATAAGCCTTTTCAACAAAGAACTGGAGCTCAGACAAAACAACTGTTTGATGCCGTTTTCATATTTCTCAGTTCATTAGCACCTGGCAAAACATCTGCCAACACACATGCACAAAAAGCAAAAGTGCTCCACCCAAGCGATAAGGGATTCAATTATTTATTGAACCTGATGGGCCTTGTATGACTCCAGTCAATGGGGAATGAAACTCTTTAGCAAGGTTTTCAAAGAGGAGTTATGTCACTTTACGCAACAGTGTGTTTATGTGACAGTGTGTAAATCTTGGCTTACCGTGAGCATCGGGGTGGTGAGGAGACCCCATGCAAAAAACTCCAGGAAGATGACCACCACAGCATGGTAAACACTGGGCTCACCAATTCCCTGAGGCTAGATGGCGACAGGGACAGAAACACAGACAGAAAGGTGGTCAACTGACAAGTAACAATGGCATCAACATTCATCAAAGTGCCTGCTGATGGTAACACATTAACAGATCAAAAGTTGAACTGGAACCTATTGCACGGCAATATTCTCCTCATGATATAAACACTCTGCAATGCCTGATCCTGTGGGATGACCCACATTTGAGTAATAGTTTGAAAATCACTTTTGGACTTTTAGAAGAAATATCTGTACAAGGCAAAAATTTGCCTTAGCCAACACATTGTTGAATGTGACTTAAACAAGTCACCAGTCATATCAGAATTGTAGTGACTTGTATATTTCAGGCATAAAATGAGACAAATTACTCAAGTACACAATGAGTAGTAGATTCACATGCACACAAATCACTTGCAATACAGTAAATAAACAGAAAAAGGGATTTACATGATACACAGTGACCAACTTAAGTTGACTAGGAGTTGCTTTATAGTCAGAAAATATTAGCTTTATTCTGCAGACAATCACAACAGTTTGAATATAAATGCAATGGCTTCCTTAAACTGTCTTACTGCTTAGTTATATTTCTTCTAAAATATTTCAATTTTGTCTCCAACACCCTCGTTTGTTTTATTTTACAACGAGAGGTTTGCAGTGTATGTGCAGAAAAAAAATCTAAATTGCAAACGTGACAATAGTAATTTAAAAGCATGGGGAGTGCAGTGGCTCTAGTCGTCTAGTCATACTTACTCTAATTACAGCATTAATTAGAGTGAGACAACATGGTTTAGCTGAACATCATACCGTTTAATTTAGCAGGTGAAACAGCACAATAATAGTGTACTAGGTCACTCAACAAAATGCAGACCTAAATCTGTACTAAGTAAAACACAAACAGACAAGCTTTTTGACTCCCAGCTTACACACTCTGCAGCTTAGCAAAGTCTGAAAGGTGAAGAGATAGTGTGATGGTGTGAGTGTAGATGCCGAGTAGGATCTTTGGCAGGAAACACAGTGAGGTGTGTTAATTGTGGAAACTATAAAGTAGGCCAAGGCCATCTTAAAGATACTAGCTGCTAGTTTACTCACTTGTGGTTTGTCACTTTCTATCACTTAAAACTGGTCTACAGACCTGTTTGGGGCGCAAATCAGATGAACTCCCACCTCTTTTGTTTCATGATAAGTGTACAACCACACCACCTGCTTTCTGAGAAAATGAGGAACAATCTGTATTCCTCATTTTATGGATGTTGAAACTTCCTCTCCGATAAAATGACGACCAGCTACGCATTTACAGATCATGCATTGCTATTGACCACTGAGTGTCTAAACCTATTAGGTGATATGGCTGGCTGCTGAAAGTGAAATCTTAATGGCTGAGTGGTCAGAACCAGCCCCAGTAACACAGTGGTGCAATAACAATGACATGAACTAAGAGCTTGATTGGAACAAAGCCACATCATGTAAGATGTTTACAACCAAAACGGTATCAGGATAACATGACTATCACTGAGGAAAAACAACAGTGTACGGCTCCGTTCATTAAGATTACAACTCTGTCTTCATATGGATTTCCAGCATGTTTGGCATTACTGTCCAACTGATTACATAACCAGTACGGATGCCTCACAGCATTTATAACAATCTCACCATCCTTAATCTTTGCCAACAGCCTAATTTAAGACAATCATCACTTCCACCATCTGAAATATTAAAACTAATTAGAAGCCCTGATATGAGAGTGAGCCAATTGTGTCATCTGATTTTTGAGGAAGTATAATGCTTCCAGTCAAACCCTATTTCATAACATTATACCATGGCTTCATCATAACTGTTCTACAAGTGTCAGTAACCGGGGCAGGGAAACATACATTTAGGACTCAAAAGTCCCTGACCAATAACTAATGAAAAACTGGCACCAAATTCTAAATAGACAGCACATGGTTATACCAGTAGCATTGTTAGGCCTGGGCAGTTAAGCCTATAGCCTTGAATATTTTATGAACAGCCCCGGATGTAGATCTTTTTTATTGCTGTTTTCAGTTTTTCCAACAACAACAACAATAATAATAATGACAATAATAATAACCCGAGATGTAAGCATTTTCGTTTTTTTCCAAAGGCAATAATTTTATATATACATAGTTTTTTTTTTTTTTTTAAAGCGCTGGATATAAATTTAGGTAATTTTGATCATGCATTAACAACATAGTTGATCAAAAACACAGTTGAAAATACTGTTCACATATGTTGAATCTGTTTACTAAAGTCTTAATCTTTTTCCATCATGTCAAGTGTTTCATTAGGAACATTTTTTCATTTTACAGTCTCACAGCTGGATATCTGCAGCACGACAATATTATGTGTCTGGAGGCTTTCCATTACTGTACATAGAGAGTGGCCTTTTCAATAATCAGGATAACTAACAAAATATGGCAACAGGTAGCCAAGTAGCAATGCACATACATTTCAGTGTTTTGTGATAAGCTGTTGTAGTTAAATAAATTGCTTTTGTCAGCAATACAGACAGCAGACTTGCAATTATCATCAGTTACTTATTTGGGTAATAGTGGTATGGGATTTTTTCGATTCACTTTTTCTTCTCACCAGCACCTGCATCTTACCCTCCTTGACTTTGTAAAGGGTTGGCCACCAAATTACTTTTAAAATGAAATTCCTAAAAACAAGTATTTCCAAGGCACACAGACACATGTGACTATAACTGAGTAAATAGTCATAACCACTGGTCTAGCTATTCTGAGGAACATGGGCTAAGCATAAAAAACAAAGTAGAATGAGCATATTTTGGCGAGAGCACAGTGTCTCATATTTTATATTAATTTTACTTTGACATGGGCCAACGATCAGGTTAAAATACAAAGACTCATGGGCCGGGGTAAATCGCCAGTGTGTTAAGATCCTAACAACATCTCTGAGTTACACTATGTAACGTTACTGCATGGTTAGTGTTTGCTTCAAGAGGTTAGTCAGTGTCTTTCATTGTCTGGAATGTTGACTTAAATGTTGCGTTAGCTTGTTTTCAACCAACACTACCAAACCTGGTGTTTAAACGTCTTGCCTTCGACCACATTATTGACCGTAAGGCTCTATTATCTATCAACTAAGCTTACTTGAAGTCGTTTGAGCCTAGTAGCACATACTATACACTGAAATTAGGTAAAGATATCTGTTAATTGCAGTAGGGTAAAAATACACCCAATTAAACATATGCTACCGAGCTAATGTTGAGCTACAACCAGTTTGTGCCTTAGTGATGCACTGTCACATGTAGGCTACACAAGATTTGAAGAAACGTTATCATTTAACGCACACTCAGGTAGGATAAGCTAGTATTCAGGGTGAGTGAATTTTAACAGGAAGATAGTTGATTGAAAAAAAAAAAAAAACATAGCTAACGTTGCCAGCTAGCGTTACCCGAGCTGACGTGTAAACGACTAGCTAATGTAGGCCGCTAACATTGGCCAGTGCTAGTCCGTAGCTAGCTGTGTTAGCCAGCTAGCTAGGCGGTCCCAACAACACCCAGCTAACGTTAACGGTTAACATTATCTGCTGTGGCAAACCGTCTAACACTGACAGTCGTAAACAAATACCGCTTTGACTGCTGTGTTTTCACAAAATAAAAAAGCTACTAGCTAACACCAGTAGCCGAGAGCCAGTATAGCACACTGGCAGGCTAAGTTAACGAAGATAAATAAATATTTAACTCACACTTCCTCCATCTTTTATTATAATTTTCTTTGCAAGAAGAATGCTGCGGTTCAGCCGCTTTTTCTTCTTTTTCTCCCCCGTCATTGTTAACTTATGTCCATTCTTGATGTCAAAGGGTCATCGTTGCGCCTATCAAAAGTAAAATAATGTACTAATATCGGCTCCTAAGCTCATCACACTTCGGCAGTCGGCTTCAGGCAGCTAACGGCAAGCTAACTAAATGATGATTTCTCATCTCCACCTCACTTCAGTCCGTCTTCCTGAACTAAACGCCGTCCCGCCCATCCAATGCAATACAGGCCAGCAATTGGCTGTCTAATAAAATGACAAAACCAAACTCGGCATCTGATTGGTTCAAAAAGAGTTCGTGCTGTTGATCCTCACATGGTGATTTGTGAACATCACACCGCGGGCAACAAAGAGGAAATCCCTTATATGGAGAGAGGTTGTGTTTATGAAGAAAGTGTACAAGATGTTCGGTCACTTCCACGAAGCCACTCAACACAATTCAGTTATGGAAAGACATATAACGCGCTTTTTCTTGCGCCCAGACCATAAAAGCTTAAACATACACGGTCTCTATCGACTTCTTTCAAGCTTGGAAACACATTTAAATTAACTTTAAATCAAATGTATATATACACTGTAAAAAGAAGAAGAAAAAAAAAAAAACTGTAAAAGAAAGTAATATTCCATTTATTAAAATACATTTTCTAGCCTAAATGTTAAATGACATCATGCGTCTTTCTGGCTTTTCTTTAATGAAGCGTATTATTAATTGCAAAAACGATTAAATTACCCATATGATAATAATAATATAGATGGGTAGGTTCATTGATATACATAATGATAAGTTATTATTTTAAAATAACTGAAATTAAAAATGAAAACACATTAATTCAATATTTTTGTAGTAGAAATCTCTGTAATTATGAAATATACATCTCATTTAGCAAACAAATCAATGTGAAATAACAAAACCAACACTTCTCTTTCTGTTAGTTGTCAGAGAATGTGGGAGGGAGAGGGTGGACAACTACCGTAAACACTGTCAAATTTTAAAACACTAAGTAATGACAAAATGACCCAGTTTGTTATATTAGTGGAGACAGCATTACATTTTCTTGATGGTTTTGCCTTGTTCTAATTTTAGAAACAAGGAAACTGAAGCAAAGTTCTGGGAAAGGGATGGGTTGGGAAACAATGAAAAACTAAACTTGCGTTGGAAATTTTCCACAGGGTGGAAGCTGCAATACATTCTCTGGACGTTTGGCCTTCTGAAAGGCATGCTTGATAAGGATAAAATTAGGAATGTATCATATGAGAGCTAACTTAGACTTTTCTGACCTAGAGAGGGAAATGCCAACAAAATCAAACCTTTTTATTGACACTTTTCTGACCACATACTAGTCCTAAAGGTTTGCTTCGTGGCACAAGTTTGAGTCTGGGGTTGTTTATGCATTAAAAATAACTTGGACAATATATTACATTTTAGTGATATACTGAATCTTCCTAAAGTCCAACACCTAAAATGTCAATACTGTGGAAAATCAAATTAATTAAAATTAAATTGAAAAAGCATCAACATTTTAATAACAATCACATACTATTGGTCATACATTTCAAAATTCTAACCAAAAAGTCATTTTTTCTATTCCATCCTTTACATATTTTGAGCACTTTTTTTTTTTTTTTTTTTAATTCCTCTATCAAATGCAGTTTGTGTTTGTCAGAGTGATACCAAAGTACTTCTAATTTCTGATAAGAACATGTCATACATCAAGAGACAACCAAAAAGCTGGTTATTGTTCAAGGGAGGACAGTTTTTGTTACTGTTATTAGCATCACAGCAAGAGGCACTTGTCAGTTGTTCATTTATTGCAGCTGGTGACATAAGTCGGATTTGGGGATGCCCACCATAATATCCATCAGTCCTACGCCCTACAAAATATACATGCATGCACTTAAAATTAATAAAACAATGTGTAGAAAGAAGTTTCCTGGGTGAAGCTGAACAGCCTGCAATAACAAAAAATAGTCAGTCAATCTAAAAGGTAACACTTCCTTTACAGCTTTACTGAATCAGTGATCAGTCACAGCTTTATGTATACCATAAGAAATTGGGGAAAAAAAGAAAACATAACTAAAGGGTTTCAGACACACAACAGTGCAAGCCCAAAATGCAGCATCACACTCTGTACACTGGAGAAGCACTCTATGTACAAGGTTAGAACGTTTCTGGTACAGTTTCAATATTTTTTTTCCCCCCACAAACAAAATAAACTCCCATTAGTACCACAATAATGGTGCCCAGAGTGTTGTCCTTTAGTAAAGGAGGCTCTTGTGTGCTTGATTGCTCCTCATCATGTTGTCCTGTTTTCCCTATACAGAGTTCTTAACACAGAAGATAATATCTGCAATTTATAAAATGTTTGCTGTACAGATAATGAAACATATTTAAAATCACATGCAGCATATTGATATAAAGATGACAAGTAGTTCTTCAGATCTGCTATAAAAACCTGAAGGAACAGTCAGCATAACCTCCCATTAAATACATCAAAATTCTCAAAGCACTTTGTTTCCATAGCAGCACTGACAAATGGAAAAGTCTGTAAAACAAAGTGCGTATTTCTTTTTCTTCTATTAGCACATACTTGGGAAGACTCAAATTGTTACAGCTTGTGCTGCTATGTTCAGCTTGGATCTTCATCCTCATCAATATAAGGGATGTCCAGGTCGTCAAAGCTACCATTTAAAGTCTTGCCGGTGTCTTGGGGCTTGCTGGTTTGGATGGGGGTGTCTTGGCTGGGCAGAAAACACATGGACTGGGTGACATCTGTCTTTTGTCCTGATGTGAGCTCTCTCTGTTCATTGTCTGTTAGAGCCATTAGACTTCTGACTCGCTGTGCCAGGTCAGGAGGTTTCTGTGGGCAGTCGGGTTTCCGGGTTTTCAACTGCACATTTGCCTTTCCTGCAGAAACAAAAATCACATCAATAAACATATTTGGTTCAAAGTTGACGGCAAACAAACAGTCAATCACAACTACATGTTTTAGTTTGACTTCGTTATGTGAACGGGAAGCAAAAGAATATAGGCCCAGATATAAGTTTTAGAGCTTTTGAGAGTTAACATCTTCTCCGTATTAACAACTCTATGCAGTACATTTTAAACAAAAGGCTTACTGGGTAGTCTACGAACACTTGGAAAATTAAACAACTTGGTGTGATGCGTCTTCCAACTTTGTCTGAAGGTTAGTGTTTGCAGCTGTTGTTAATAGTCACACTCTAAGGTAAAAAAACCCCCCAAAAAATCCTTTAACCCTCTGAATCACAACAAGTGTCTGCTCTTGTCACATTTTTACTCACTGTCGACTCATTTTTCACTTCATTATAAAGTCATGGACCTGTGTGAAAACAGTACAACCATACCCAGAGGCAGAGAGAACTAAAAAAACAAAGCCCGATATCATTGTCAAAAAGGAATCTGGTTAGAGCAAATGGTTTATTTATATTTACATTTTCAAATAAGACACATGGAATAAATAGATTTTAAAGAAATTTGAAAAATGCTATGCTCAGATTTGGTGAAGCTTTCCGATGGAATGGCACGTCACAGATGTGTAGCTCAAAGACAGTCAAAAAGCTGAAAATCCAACAATACTTTCAGTTTTGATCATTTCTGGTTTCCAAGGGTTAAATATGAGGATGATGAAGCACACTTCCGTAAAATCTTGATTGGAAAGGATTATGGTGTTGCACTTGTTTGTAAACTAAGTTGTGAAGTGAATAATGAAAATCAGAAGCTGAGATGAAATAAACTTGACAGTTGCATAAAGTGATACAACTTTGTGATTGCTGGTTTACTGAAACTCCCAAGTCCCTTAGTTCCAGCATCAGAAAGGTGATGAATAGTTTTTCAGACAGTGAAACAGCATGTGTGGGCTGTTATACCTGCTTGTGTGTTTCAGTGTTTTAGGACTACATCCATCCATTATCTATACACCGCTTAATCCTCACTAGGGTCGTGGGGGGCTGGAGTCTATCCCAGCTGACTTAGGGTGAAGGCAGGGGACACCCTGGACAGGTCACCAGTCTATCACAGGGCTACACTTAGAGACAGACAACCAAGCACACTCACATTCACACCTACGGACAATTTAGAATCACCAATTAAGCTCAACATGTTTCTGGACTGTGTGGGAAGAAGCCAGAGAACCCAGAGAGAACCCACGCTGCACGGGGAGAACATGCAAACTCCAAGCACAAAGATCCCGGGTGTCCTCACCAGGACGCGAGGTGACGGTGCTAACCACTGAGCCACCGCGCAGCCCTTACGACTACATGGATACGTGAAAACCACAAAAACATACCACTGAGTTTGGCAAGATGGAACAAACAAACACTGCTGTCTTTAGATGTGGTTAAACAACATGTTTTACAAATAAACTCCGTTGAGGCATGCTGAACCTCTATGAATGAGGTTTCCTTTATGCATTCGTCTACATCTATTTTTTATGCACAAATAGCAATCATAACAATGTCGGATACATCATATATCATAGGAGTGGAGCATTAAAAATACAAGTGTCTTTAAGTCCTTCACCAGGTTCTATTTTTAAACCCAAAGGGAGGTGAAAGTACTTTACCTCTTTACTGACCTTCCGATTCCAAGCTCCCCAGACGGTCATCGAGGCTCTCTGTGCTCATCGATGATGATGAGTCTAGGTTGTCATTGTCAGAGTTCTCCTGCTCCAGGTTAGGTAAGGTGCAGGCCAAGTCCACTCTGTAAATGGCAAAAAAGATATTATTCAAACATGTGATTTTAAATGTGTGAGTTTAACAACTATTGGGAAACGTGCTTAGCTCACTTTTCTTGTTTGATGGACTTGATCCTTTCAATGAGGGTCATCTCCGTTTCATCTGAATGTGTTTGCTGTGGAACATCCAGCTGTGAAGGCTTTTCAACAACCTGCAAAGATCAGAGCAGAGTTTGTGTCAGCTGCCAGTAGTTCATCAAGTCAATCAGACAGCAAATAGGTACAGATTTACAGCTTCTGTTTGTTCAGAGGAATCCTAATGAGTGTCTGACCTCTACTGGCGCTATCAAATGTTTGTTTAAATGAGTCGGTCTTCATGTTGCTCTGTCTCGTGCACATACAAGTTTTCACATGCATCTGTGTGATGTGATATAGCCCAGATAATGTGTTCTGGTAAATAAAACCAAGTATAAATGTAAATTTAGTGTGTTTGCAAGGAAACTCCACAGAGCACCTTTAAATTGCCGACTATGGTTTATTCTGGATCATATCATTATTCTATGGTCATATCACAAATGTGGACGGACGGACGGACAGACGGACGGACAGACAGACAGACAGATAGTGTGTTTTGTGTATAACCATCTGAACCCCATGACTTGCCAGTGGGTTTGAAAGGCATGTTCTGTTTACATAATCTTTAAAATTGCATCATTGATGAGAGCCAGAAGCTGTAAAAACAGATGAAATCATAGGACGGTCCTGGAACCACTGATATATGACATGCCATTCAGTTGGAAAAATCAACATAATCTAAGCTTAAAATTGTGACATTTCATCAAGATCACTTTATTTATTTATTTATTTATTTTTACATTTGTCTTTTAGAAATTTGCTGATAATTAACCACTTGCTCTAATCAGATCCTGTAAGAAAACTAACAATTCTGTAGGTGGAGAAAAGTATGGAAAGAAATGTAAATAAAAAAAAAAAAACACTTATAGTATGTAGAGTCTGAATTCAGCTGAACTGCAGGCTGCGTTTACACAGAGCAGAAAGTATGGACAAGTATGGAAACTAACTTAAAATGTAACTAGTAAGTAGGTCTCAGTTTTTCTGAGTAATTGTAAAAGCAGTTTGGCCCCCGAAATTTTGTAAAATATAAAGTATTCAACTTTCTTTTTCTTTCCATTTTTCATGATTGCTAGAACTAGAAATGTTGTCATGCTGCACAGAAGAGATTTGAGAGTTCTCTACTTCTAGCAGTGGTTGTGTTGATACCATAGAGGTGCACGACTTTAGAATGCAGTGAAAAAAAAAAAAAAAAGAGTCCACAATAAGTAAAAAGGAGACAAGAGCAGAAAAACACCCAGAAACTGCTTGGGGTTCAGATGATTAATATACATTTCTGTCAGTTAATAAACTTTTTTCTTCCTCCATGATGAGTGATTTAAATAACTGACAGATGTTACTTGAGCCAGGTGTTATTTCATATCTTCTGGTGTCATCTCACCGTGTTTTGTCTCCTCAGTTTGAGCTGATTGACAGCCAGGGCCTCTGCATATTCCAGTTCTTGAATATTCTGCATCTTCTCTTTGTAGCGCCTGAACTGCTCAGAGATCAGGATTTCCACACAGCTGCAGAGAGGATAGTCAATGATACATCTTTAGAAATACAGACAGTGCCTAACAAAAACACATACAGTACTTTGAATGCAGGAACAGTAAGGAAAAAGTAAACGTACAAAACTTCCTCAAGACAGTACAGAGTTACAGTAGTGCACAGAACAATGACTCACAGTGTGGTCTTGGACACATCCTTCATACCAAGGAAGGGGTCATTAGCATCAGGTGAACGCAGGACGCAGGGAGCAAACACGATAGCAAGAGAGCTTGGCGACATTTTATTGTGCTCTTCTTCTTTTGCAACCCTAAAAAGACAGACAGTTGAAATCTGATGGAAGTTTAATGATGCAAATAAGAAAACAAATCTTCTTACCTGACAAGGTGAAAGATAAGCCGCTCCAACGTGTTGTAATTAGCAGGAGGAAGCTCATCAATCAGTTTGTATACAGCCCTTATTCTCTCAGCTTTCTCTGGCAACTCTAAAGGGGATCAAACAGAGGGATTAATACCTTTTCAACATCCATATCAGACATTGTTATTTGATATTCCAAAATAACTGTCTGGGTGTCTGACCCAAATATGGACTGAAAGGACGAGGATGAAAGCTAGGAGAATCTTGGCGGATAGCTCCCATCATCTTTTTAACAGGTTTGAACTTCAGAAGTCTGGGAGGTGCTACATAACCCCTCTGGCCAAAGGTATCTTTAAGAAGTCTTTCATTCCCAACGCCATTGACCTTCTCAATCCAACAAAGTGATCAACCCCACATATAACCTGAACTTGAACTGTTGTTTTACTGTTTTATTCTTTTTTTATTGTTCTATTGTAGGCTACCTATACTATGTATTGCTGTGTGTCTGTATGCATGTCATGCGGATCTTCTGTGTTGGTTAGCCGAAGACAATTTTCCACCTTGGTGGACAATAAAGTTCTATTTTATTCTATTCTATTCTATTCTATTCTATTCTATTCTATTCTATTCTATTCTACAAAAGAGATTTATTTCAAGAACCGTATGTGTTGATATGTTTACTGTGAATGGAGTGGAAAGTCGATTTCTCCAACTCCACCATATTTCTAGGATCTCAGCATTAATTTACATCATAACAATAATAGCAACTATGTTCCATCCTAAACAGTAACAGACATTTAGCTTCATTTAGTTTGCAACATATCAGACTGACTGATTGTGTTTGTGTGTATTAGTCTTCTTTGATTCAACAGATAAATAAGTTGATTTACCAGGATGTACTTACGCACATGCAAAACGTCAGCTTAAAGCAAAAAATATTAATTCTATTAGCATTTTCTCACCCACGGCATGCAGAAAGTCGCTGTAGAGAGAAAAGGTCATGAGGGGATCTGGCAGGTCCCTGAGCCAGCGTTTAACAAGGCCTGTGATGGTATGGATGGGGTAGTTATCCAAGCATGCTCCCTCTGGATCTGATGGTACAAGCCAGAGCACATTGATGAAAAACTAACATTGTTGTATTAGCATTTGAATAGATTTTTCAGTCTGTACAGTCACGTGACACATAACAGATTTTGATTGGCAAAGTATAGAATTTCAAATGTCTTGAGTTTGTTTTAAAAATACACAGTCAACTATTGAGCTAAAAGTAAAAAAAGACTAAATATTTCAATTTTCTCCAACTTTAAGTTCAAAGGAATGTTTTTCATTGATTGTGGCTGTCCTCGCTCCGCATCAATCATTCCATCTATTTTCTGCTCATTCAGGGTTGAGTTGTGGTGGCAGCAGACTAAGCAGGGCATTCCAGGTGTCCCTCTACTCAGCAACACTTTCCAGCTCTTCCTGGGGGATCTCACGGTGTTCCCAGGCCAGATGAGATATGAGTTCTGAGTCTACCCTAAGGTCCCCTCTTAGCTTAATGCAACTAGACAACCTCTTAAGAAAGATTTCTAGGTGGCATTCCACTCAGATGCCCTGAACCACCCCTTCCAGTTCAAAGGTGCAGCGACTTTACTCTAAGCTCCTTTGAGATGTCCGTTTCCAACCTATCTTGTTCATGCCTGACAGTATATAGAGTGTGAGATGGACAGACGGATTGGTGCGTTGTCAGCAGCAATGTGTGCCTTGTACCAGACCGCAGTGACAAAGAGGGTGCTGAGCTAGAAGGTTTAAATGTTGTTCTACATTGTAATTGTAACCCTCACCTACGGTCATGAGCTCTGGGTAATGGCCAAAGGAATGAGGCAGCCACAATGAGCTTCCACACCAGTCATGGCAATTTATAACACAAGGAACATCACAATATGTAGAACTCCAAGCTGTCAAGCAGACTGAACCTGACTGGGTTCCCAAGATAAAATGTTGTACTTGTTGTTATTTCTAGTTTCAGCTGGGGTGCAAAGAATTTCTTACTGGTCTCCAGAATCTGGTGGAGCTCCCTTGCTCGACAGGCTGAGCCCGATTTGCGGTAAATGCCCTCAGTGTAGAGGCCGTTTAGCTCCACATGCATCAGCAACAACTCCACCACTTTGGGCACAGGGGTGGCTTTGTTGGTGAGGACGCACACTTGCACCCCAAAATGAAGGGAGCCAGGGACATTGTCATCCTGCACATCAAAAGACACAAAATGTATAAATGAGACATTTTTTGGACAGTGAGCCTTGAGAAATTGATGTTAATATTGAATGAACTATTCAGTCATGTTATTTGACTAAATATGTCAGTTCCTACCTTCATGGCACAACGTGTTGAGCAATCTGTTATGATTTGTTTCAGGCATTTTTTGTGACATATTAACTTGCAAGCTAAGGACAAAAACAGGAAAAAAATTGTTGAATTTAACTGTGTACTTGTTCTTAAACCACTGTTAAAGGTTGTGGTCTCACAGCTATTTGCACTCACCGCTGCACATGTAGGCTTTCTCCATTCCCCAGATGTAGGAGCCACACAAGTCACATGACTGCATAATGTTCACCTGGTATGTGCTGAACAGGTGATCCAGAGGACTATCAGGCTGTGGACAAGGGACATACAGCAATCGACTGGGATTATTCACCTATATTCATATAAGGGAACTTAATAAAGACTTTCACATACTTACACATTTATTCTTTTTCCTCCTTTTCTTTGTCGTCTTAGTAGCCTGACAAAAGCCCGAAGTGACAGAGATATATGAGTGAGTAAGTTACCTACATTCTTAAGATGGTTTCAAAACTGATGATTGACTAAAAGAATACAATTTACCTTGCTTGGTTCAGACTCCACCCGCTTTATTTCGCCCCTGATGAAGCCGTCCAGCACAGACTGGAACAGGTTCACCACCAGTGACACTTCTCCCCTCTCCTTGGGTCCTGCTAGTGTGTTCACTTTGTTGTGGTAGCCCTTCATCAAATCTTTATAACCAATTTTGGGCTTCTGTTGGTCACAAAGAGGCCATGAAAAGTTATACAATTATTTGCCATTTTTACCTCCAACACTTTACCTTCATTTGTTTGTTTTGTTTCAGTGGCAGGCATTTTGTAAGAGATTTTATTAGATTTGCTGACTAACAAAACATGACAAAATATTGTCTTCCCAACTTTTTTGCTGGCACGGGCAAAGACATTGACTGACCTGGACAGAGTACATGCCTTTGATGGTCTCTCTGAACTGCATTGTGGCATTGAGGAAAATGCTCTCTGTTGGCGACAACTCTTTTATTCTTGTTCGCAGCTCGTTCACCTGATGACAAAGGTAAGTAGTTATAAACAAGTGGAGCAGTGTACAGGTCTTAACCTGGATAGGTAATACTGAAGACGGAGACAAGGGAAAAGAGGATCGAGAAGGAAGTATGAAATTAAACAATGATCCCCACTGGACAGCCCCAAGGTTACAGGATTAACAAGTGTGTGCAAAATGTATTGGTCCATTTATTGACGTTGCTTGACATCTTTTCAAAAATTCCAGAAATCCACTGGAGTTCAGACAATAATGTAAGACAAAAACCTGCGATTCCACTATAAAACTCCACACTTGACAAAAATTAAAGTAATATGTGAGTAATGCTTTATGAACTAATAATCGTAAAGTTCATTGTCAGAAAACCAGATATGTTAAACATGTAAATTGTAAATCAATACAATAAGTTATAAAAATGCCATTATTTCTGTAATTTTTTATTCAAATTACTTTCCATATTATGAAGGGATTTCTATTTTAAACACACTTTTTAAAACTTTACTTTATGTCACAGTGACATCTGACCACCCTCATTCATGATGTCACTTTGTATAAACACAGTCTCCTGCATTCAAACCAGGGTTGTCTGAAGGCAATGACTGGTGAGTGAAACATCCTGGGTCCCCCCTTAAGCATCCCTCAAACATGGTTTTTAAGATTACATACAACAACTGTGCCTGTGATCTGAAAGCTACAGTTACAGGGACAATTTACACTGACATCTATTGGAAAATGAAGAGCACAAAACAGCACATCTCCAATGTAAACAAGAGACAGTCAAATGTGCATTAAACTCTGATTTACAAATCTGCACTGTTTTTCTTTTCCCTCTTTAGGTGGTGATCTCACCTGATTGCCAAGGAACTCGTCCAGGTTTCGCAGCTCCTTGGAGTCAGTGATCTCTCGGTCCAGGGATGCGTCCCACTGTAACGCCCGTGTGGCTCGGCTGATTCGAATGGTGGGGTTGCGATTGACCCTCCCACTGGTTTGATTTGATGTGTGGTAAGGATGCGGAGTGTAGCCGGATAAAGTGACTGCAGGCAGCAGAGGGATAGATGGAATTATGAGTCACATGTCAAGAGAAACAGAAGTTTAAATACCGTATATTTATACTATGATGTATACTATGTAATGCTTATCTATCTTGACATTACCTGTCTGTCAGCTAACCAGCTAATAATCTCCAGAGGGCAGTAAAGAGAAGATGGTAATCTGTGACCTCCATTTGTATGGTTCAGTCATCAAAAATCAGGTACACCCCCATTTAAACAAAAACAGCATTTACATGCAAAAAGCCAGGACATTATTCCCTCCCGTTCTCCAAACCCTGGCCTAAAATAACTTCCATTTGATTCATAAACTGTGTCCTAAAGACTCCCCTCCCCTCCTTCTGCAGCCTATTAAAAGTTCATTGTATGTGTATATTTTAAGCATCAGCACTGAATCAAACCCATAGGGCAGGCAGCCTTTTCAAATCCTTAGTTACCGGTTTTATTTGTAGGAGAGTCACTGCTCGGGGAAAGTTTAGGTGAACGTTTCCTCAGGAATTTACTGAGAAACCAAACTCTGCAGAAAAGACAACCTGTATGAATTTCATGCAGTAGCATAAACAATAAGTAGCAATAATAACATTAGGCTTAGTCATGAATTTATTTCTAAATTATGCATTAGGTAAGTGAAGGGTTTAACCTGTCAGGGGTTGTGAGTTGTGACTGGTTAGACGTCTGTTGTCTGGAGTGCTCATTACTGGTTCTGGGTGGAAGGCTGTACCTTGAGCCATCAGGCTCTGATGGTATCTGCAGTAGTAAAACACATATTAAAATGCAAGTATTTTTTAGGTTTAAGTACAATTCTTGTGAACAAGCAGCTCTAAAAAAAAAAAAACACATACACAGATAATAAACATATTGTTCTGACACCCAAGTGACACAGTCTTCTTTACCCTGCAGGTTCCCTTGCTGCAGCTGCACCAATCTCTTCCAAAAGGATTCCCACATTTCCTGCACCACCAAGCTGTGGCCCATGAACATGATAATAAAAGCACCACAGTAGTGATAGTCCCACACCATTTACAGTTGTCATGCAAAGCTTCCTTGACCCCTGCCACCACCGAAATTATGACCTATTTTGCTTCATTGTGATGCGACCCATGTGAACGTGCATTACTGGCTCAGACATAGGTTAGTAAGACCTGAAATTAAATTATATTTCATACAATTATAGGTTTATTCATAACTTAGACTCTATCTGTACACAGAGTAATCAACAATGTTTTTGTAATATTTACATTAATTAAAGCATTTAGTAAATACTAAGTATTGCTTGCCGTAATGTGGGGGACATAGGTCGATTCAGTAATAGGTTTGATTGTGTAGTTCAAGATACATACAAGTTGCTGTGCATAATTAAAAACACATGAGATAAAAGTGTGTTCATGCCTTAATAATCAAAAGGCTGTACAGCTTTTTCTCCTTAGTAATAACTGGGTATTAACCATAACAACATACATGGTTAATTTTTGCTGAATGTGCAAAAACCATCATCAGTATGCGTGTGAATCAAGCAATAATCTAGAATCATTGAAGCCACAGCGACTAAAGTTCTATCTTAATTTTAAAGTGACCAAAACCCATTTACATCAAAGCAATGGATATTCTGCGAGTCTATTCTGTGCCGGCTGACCCATTTGGGTGACGGGACACAAAATATCAGAAATGAGCTTTGGAAATGGGCTTTAATATTTCCTTTCTGTTTATAAGCAGCAGCTCATTTTCTCATTGTCCTGGACTGCGTAGCAGAAATCAGAAGTGCCAGAACAATGCAAACTATGCAACCAGTGCATTTGGGAGATACACATGCAAGGCCTGCATGCAGAGGAGAGTTGTGGTTGGTCAATATATCCCTTTGGTCAGTACCTTGACCTGGGATTTGCGGGCCCGGACATCGATGCTACTAGCTGAACTCTTCAGGCCAGGCACAAGGGGGCTGATGGGAGGCAGTGGAAAGCTCCAGTACTCGCTCTCCTTGGAGCCCGCAAAGTTAATCACCAAACCGCTGCGGGCGTAGGCTAAGCGCCGCCTGCGTTGGTTCTGCTTGCGGGGACGCACCCTGACCTAATTGGGCCAGGAAAAGCGATGAGGCACAGACTGGGAGGCCTCCTTCAATTGATGTGTAAGGAGTCTCCAATGATGTGTTTGTCAGCATTACATAAGCGTTCAGTACACACAAGAAGAGCAAAACCAACACCAATATTCATCCTGTAAAGGACCCTGATAACAACACAAGAAGGACTGCCTCTATACGAGGTGAATATAAAGATGGATCCAATGTTCTTTGTGAAGATACACCATTTTGAATTATGCTTTGGGTGATGTAATAACAAGGAAAATGGTTACCTCAGAGGCAGAAGGTGAGCTATCAGAGCCTGATGAGCTGATCTTGGACAGTTCATCAGCAGACATGGACTTCGCTTTCCGGCTGTTTTGCAGACAGAAATGAGAACAGAGCTGGTAACTATTGTGGGACTCATAAAAAACTTTGCAGCCATCCATAAAATTATGTTATATATGTTTTAACTTGAAGTTTTTGCCATACAAATACTTTATCATGAGATAGATACAAAAAATCCAAAAGTAGAAACACATGTTCAAATTGTTAAGGAACAAATCACATATTTTTTATTTTTTACTTGAAATATGTACTACAGCTGCCCTGACAAAGTGTGTACTGTTTCATGCAGTATGCATACAACAAGGATGTACCACTTCATCATAATATTGTGTGTTAAACTTTGACCATCGCAGTCAGTGGTGTGAAATCAGCTGTCCTCTGTCTGTGCACTCCGAGTGGTTCAAGCTTGTTTATACTTGTGTGAGACACAACGACATATGTGATGTGACTGTGCTGAGAATGGCCAGACAATAGCTTGTAACCTGCAAAATCTGAGCAGATTGGATAGGACATTACAGTATTTCTTACCTTTGACATACTACAATTTTGAACAAAAGCTTGTAAAGACCATGTATGTCATGGCAGTCTTGAATTTCCAGTGACTCCTACAAGTCTTAATTTTCGGTGATGGATTGATTAAAACACATGCATCATTATCACAAAAAAACAACAACCATGCATTTTGATTATTTCATAAATTTATCATAAGTTGTAGGAATTCCTGGACTTCTGTTCATGACTGTATGTATTGGGACATATTGAATATTTTTCTGGCATACCATATAGTATGAGGTAGTGCAGGTATTGGAACACACCCAAAGAATGTTTTTTATAGTATTAAAATGGCTCGTTGAGGACATATTAGAAGAGCTAACGTGGAGACAGATCTTAGTTTTATTGTGGCTAATGAAGCTATTAAATGAGAAACTTACTAAAAGTCATCTCTTTTCCTATCTCTTCGTCGCCGTATTTCAGGACTGGATTCATCTGTTGGTTCACCTTCACTCTGTCTTTCTCTCCACTTCTCGGCCTTTTCCTTGATGCCCCCTACATCTTTGTAGCGCTGAAGTGAGCTGCTCTTAGTGGGGCTGATGGAGAAATCATCAGTGCTAACTTTGGGGTCCAGAGGGAGGGAGAGGGGTCTGTGGAGTGGGGGAGGAGATCCTCTGCCTTCTTGTTTATCCTTACTCCTGCTCCTGCCTGGCTCAGGCTCCTGGGTCCTGCAGGGGCTGATTTCCACTTTGTGCTGCCTCTTCAGCTCCTTTTTTGCCAAACTGTTAGGCAAAAAGCAGCAAATCTGAAGGTTATCACAGCAATTGCAACCATAACATTAATATTGTTTTGGGTTCTACTTTAACCCTCTGAAGCCCAAAACTCACTAGTGGGTTTAAAAGGCATGCTGTGTTTACAGAAAGTACACCATCTGTCTGGAAGAAACATTACAACCTGGGCGAATCATCATGTTAGGAAACTTAACAAAAGCTAGGCTTAAACTCATAACATTTCATTAAAATCACTTTAATCTACACGTCTGATTTAAAAAATGACCAAATTCAGTAAAAAAACAACAACAACAAAATGTTGCATTTCTTAGTGCAACTGAGAAGCCATCGTGACTTAGCTGTGACCAAAAAATTCTGGGATGTTTTGGCTGAACTTCAAGCTGTTTTTTTTAACAGAGCAGAGAGGAGACAAGCAGAGAAACATATTAAAAATGTAACTATTAAAATATCTATAGATCGAAAATTCACCATTTTTCCAGCGTGGGCACTTGGAAAAGGCATGTTGATTACAGAATTTTTCAGTTTGTGCAAAAATAAATAATCATAGAAATTGCTTAGTTGTCTTCCCTTCTACCCATAGTTTTGCTGTTTCCATAGAGGTGCAGGTCTTTATATTGCAAAGAAAAATGAGCTCACACTGAGCATAAATGCAACAGAAGCAGAAAACACCCAGAAGTCTCCTGGGGTTCAGAGAGTTAACCCTTTTTTGGTCTTAGAGTGACTTGAGCAAGAATTATATACAATAATAATCTTGTCAAAACCACTGCAAAAAAACATGACGCTGCTCCATGAAAGATTCTCACAGATGTACTGGTATCAGCATGTATGTTGTTCGACAGCTAACAACAAATCACAAAAACAGTAACACTGACAACACATTTTTATGCTATGTCTGACCACTAGAGAGCACTTTCCCGTATCACTAACTGTAAAATGCACTGCTCTCCGTGTACATAGCTTGATCAAATAATTTTGTCTTAAAAGTTTAGCTATCCTTTTCAAAAATGCTTTTTTAAAGCCATTTTTTGGCTCCTAGCATTTATTGTCTCTGAATAACACTGTACCTGTTGCATACATACCCCAGAATGCAGCACTTACTGCCAAAGAAACATGTCTAATGCAAAATGTGCCATTAAGAGTGTGTAACACAACATCAATCTAAAGACTTTAAAAAGGCCCTTCATGCAGGTTTGACATCAATGCTGCAACATCTCACCAATGTTTCATCTCACAACACTGTTTCTGTAGCTACAAATGAAAAGATTTTTTTCAAAGGCAAGCATACCATTTATGGTAGTAATTGTACAAACCTTTATTCAATCAACACTATAAATGCAGCTTTTCTAAATACTGCTTTTCAGTCGGGCTGGGTAGACAGTGCACTCGTACATTACCTCTGACACCTGCCATGTTATGCCAACAAACTGGACCCAGTATTTACACTTAGATAGTGTTTCGTAAAGCCTGAAATAACATAGGTAAGGTTTTCTTTTCTATTTCATAATCATGTGAGGTTTTTCTCCAAACTCTACTAAACTGGCATATTTATAAGTGAAGGAGCTGGTGCTCCTACAACTGAAGCACTGCAGTTACAGTACTATGTGTACCTGTCTCGGCTAGGCCGGCCTCTGGACTTCTCTTCATCCTCCTCATGCTGCTTCTTTGACCTCTTCAGAGAACTCTTCCACGCTGTTTGGATCACTGTAGCAGCTCGGTTTTGTTTAACATAAAACTCACGCCAGCACCTCTGAAACATCAAAAATATTCACTCAGCTTGATTCTGTTGTTTTGCTTTTTATTTGTTCTTGGACTTTGGGAGCATTAGTTTTTTTTTGCTAGGCCAATAAGCAGGGCAAAGTTTAACTGCACATGAAGGGCATTAGGGAGTCAGGAACATGAGGAATGAGTGCCCAACAAATTATCCTCAATCTGATGCTGGGTGAGACAAGTGGCAGGTTGTTTTATTCAGCTTTCACATGGAGAAGATGTGTAAATTGGTAGTACACAGCCTTGTTCCACATTTGAAAGTGAATTGTTATTTAAGGTGTGAATGGATTGCTGTTGTATCATCTACCACGTCTCAGGACACATGTAATGGGAGGAGCTTTGTTGTCTTGCAGTCACCATTGAAAATGAACGGTACCTGTATGATCATAGAGGCGTCTCTTTCTTGCAGAAAGCGCGACCGTATCAGACATGCGCGGAACCAGCGTTGCAGGATGATGATGTGATGTATTACTTCTTTGTTGAGAGTGTCTTGAAGCAGTTGCCGTTCCTTTTCCTTGAGGAAAACCTGAGGAGCAGAGAGGACAGCATGCAAGCCATGAGGTGGTGTGAAAGCACATCTGTACAGTAAATTTGTTATAACTGCTTTTGTGACTTTTATGTGTTTTTATAACTTTATACATGAAAGAAACCTGCAATGTTTGTTATTAGTAAGATATATTATTTCTTGATTAATGACAATATTCTCTTGTGGGAGAAAATATAAATTTAACTCAAGAGGCACTTCAATGTTCACAAAATTCCTGTATGTCATCTGATTGACAGGTTAATGCAAAGACTAACAGAAACATGACATAACAGATACATGATTTGATATCAATATAGTTATTCACCTTGGTTTTTCCTATTTGGTAGGTACTCTTATCCAGCTCCATCCTCTCAAACAGTTCAGTTATGTGCTCGGGAGTTGCAGCGGTTCCTTTTGGAAGCAACATCCTAAACTTCCCAACAAATTCCTGCCACCAAGAGGAAAACAACATCATTTTTAGAAAGTCCAAAGCAACTTTGGTCTCAATGCCAGTCACAGGTATGAGTTTGTTGTCCTTTTTATTATAAATTCCTTGAATATACAGTAAGGGGGGTTATCTGTATACAAGTATATATAATGTTCAACATCATTCTAAAGGGAGTACCTACCTTAAATGTGTATTTGGCACTGTAACCAGACTTCTGAATGTGTATCATCTGCAATATGCCTGTATACTTGATTTGGTTGAGCACAAGTTCATCGTCAAACTGCATCTCTTTCTGTAAAAACAAAAAATATTTCAAAAAAGATAAACAGCGTCCTTCAGTAAAATATGTAGGATTAAAATCCCCCAGACTGATGCAACACATTCACAGACATTACCTTTTCAGCGTTAGATCGAACGCAGAAAATGAAGAAAGGTTCTGCTTTTTCAATTGTCTTCATCAGCTTTCTGAGTGACGCCTGTGAGATACATGTAAGGTTTACTTTCAGTCATTAAAATGTAGACTAATGACATGCATTATTACTTTTAATCTATAGATTAGTTTAGGCCCCCTTTGAAGGCCGCTTTGATTCTCATGGGTAGGCTGTAGACAGAAGACAAGCAAGTTACAGACAGACAAAGTTAATTCCTACGAAACACAACTGTGAAGCGAACAGTAATTATGTGCTAAATGAGCATTCAGCATGAAGAGGGTTACAGACTTTGACAGTCATTTTAGGAAATCTCAATAATTAAGACTCCTGATTCTGTCACAATTAGCAACAGAAATATTTGTAAAAGCTCATCACCTGATAGAAAAAAAAAACATCTGATAAATCCTTACATCCTTAAAATAACTACTCATTTTAGTAGCAACTATAATGCTCATAAAAGTGAGCATCACTGTAGTCACATGGTAGACATTTCACCTTAGGATGGCACAAAAACTCGATCTTACCTTCCTTCGACATTTTAAGATATGTTTCAAGAAAAGAAACAGTATTCTGCAGCAAAGTTACACAGAAGACAAACCTGAAACTGAGCATTAACTGTAGGGAGGTTTGATCTCCGGTGAGGGTGGAAGATGGACTTGCTGGTTCTGTCATGTGCCGCAACACCAACAATGTGTTGGAGTGAACGCAAATTCATGAGGTTCTGTTTGATAAAACACACATAAGACTATTAGCTTTTGAACTCTCAAAACAAGGGGCTTCTGGTTGTGATAGAAAGATCAAATCCAGATGTATATCTACTCTTAGCTCTTTTTTTTTTAAGTGACATGAAAATCACTGAGCCTCATCAACACTGCACCCTTCATTAACACTTTACCTTTGGAATAAGCTGCTTCTGTCGTCCGCCTCTACTTTTCCTGCAGAAAGCACAGACAAAATGAGGCATCATAAAAACACTCAACTCCAAAAACAGAAAGGGAGAAGTTGCGTAACATAAAAATTCAATGCGTTTAAACCAAAGGCACAGAGCTGACTTACTTTCTTTTTTCATGAGTGACAAAGATGTCCTCAAATAAATCAATAGGATGTTCATCAGAGCGATCAAAGGAGAAATCCAGAGGCTCGCTTTTGCTGTAAGAACAAAGAGGATGCATTCATTTTTTTAGCAAAGAGAAGCTACTGCTTTTTATTTTACAGTACTCCGCAATTTTTTAGGATTTTAGATCATGTAGGTCACGTAATTACATCAGTAAAGCATCTGATTGGTTACAAAGGTCTACTATTAATGCACCTGGGTACTATATTTACCTGGACAGCCTGGCCACATTACTGCTGTACTGTTTTGTGTCTTTGAGAGACTTGCGGGAGTTTCGTTTTGAAGCTACTGTAGAACAGAACAGAACAGCAAGTCAGTTCTATATAATAATCACAACTTTTCTAATATGAAGAGAAGAGAAAACAAAAACAGGTTGGTGGGACAAAGGCTAAAAGAGTTATTCAAAGCAAAATCCGTAATAAAACAACAACATGCTATTCCTGATAAGCAGAGATCATCTTGTCCTCCAAAGAAACATGTCACGTCTTTTTAAAATGGTTTTAGGATTTACAGAGTGCATTATTTAAAAATGCAGCTTAATAAGCGACTAAAGCTACTTACTCAATTCTGCCCGCTGGCGTCCCAGGCTCTTGAATACTGTGAGGATGCGGATGGTTGCTCGGAGGATGCCCCATCTGAACAGGGCTTCTGGACTGGATGCAACCATGTGATGCAGGAACGAGAGCCCACTGCTTCGTAGCAGTGATACGACTTCAGGACGCATGTGTTCTGTGTTTTTCTTTCCGAAATCCTAAAGAAAAGTCCTGATTAATATAGCAAATATATTCATGCTGCGCTCACAAGTGAGAGCAGCTGCAGTTCTTTTACTTTCATACATTTATAATTTGTACTCACAGGTATTTAGTTATCTTCACAACTATAAACTTCTCAGTACTTTCAGAATGTTTATTGGTGAGGGAATTAATCATTCACTTGGTTATAGATTGTTCAGGTTTTTCCCACACTGGCCTATCTTACAAGGCTACTGCAGACCAACAATGTGTTACAGGGGTCAAGTTGGATGATGGAAAGTAAATCTACCTCATTACAAATGTGGGAGGAAAATGTTTAGAATAGAGTTGTTTGCGGTGTGAGAATTATACATCACCTTGATGTGATATTCAACTCCCCCAGCAAAGTGTTGAATGACGAAAGTTGGCTCTGTATTTTGAGAGGGTACAAAGAGTGGATTGTCCTGATTTTGCTGCTTTAACTTGTCCATCAGGGTTTCATCTGTGGCCTGAGGGAGGCTGAAGATACATAGACAGAAGGACGGACTATCAGATTCCACATACAAAGTCTGGGACAGAAAGTAAGACTGGTTTTATTTAGAACAGGTAATAAAGTAAACAGAAGAAGAAAATATGTTTTATCTGCTAAACATACTGAAACACTGCAAAGGTAAAAAACAAATGTTTGTTTTTTATTTATTGTGAAATGTAAATCTAATTACTCCTATATGGACAAAATTACCATCAAATGTTTGCCTAGAGGAATGATAGAAGCACCATCCACGCTGTGAGTACCGTTCACCTACCTGCTCTCCTGATCCAGTAGGTCAAAGAGTCCAACTGACTCCTTGCTGATGAGCTGAATGCAGCCACTGTTGTCAGCAAAGTTGATGTTTTGCCAGCTGATACCCTCTGACAGGTAATCTTCCTGAAATGTATGTTAATCGCGATTACATAACCACATTATTTCAATTTACAATGAAGTAAATGTTAATCAGCTTGTCATGGATACAGCCATGTGATAATAACAAACAGAACTTGTATCCATTATGTTTGCAAGGTTAAGACTCCTTAATGTCAACTAGATTTGAAAATACAGAAGAAATAAAATAACTGAAAATTATTTAAAAATTCAAGAAAAAATTCATAACAACTTTAAGATACAATACCACAGCATATTTGCTTCTAATGCTGTAAACATATTTCAAAAACAATTTTCCAGGTGTGTGTCCAGGGTATGCAGTGCCAGCTGTGTCTGGTTCCAGCAAATATTACGAAAAACAAAAATGAATGAATTTTATCTGTATAAATGCATAAATGCACCTACTTGCTCAAGTATGAAGATGTTCTGGTTGATGTAATACTGCAGCGTTTCATTGCTGTAGTTGATGCACAGCTGCTCAAAACTGTTTGTCTGGAGGTTCTCAAACCCAAACATATCCAAGACACCAATGGACAAACACTGAAAACAGAAATGATTTGAAAATTCAAAGACAGCGCTGTGGAAATGTATAACTATGATCTAAACGCTACATTAAGGCTGCACATTGCTGCCAAATAATACAACAGTACCATGACTGGAGATACAGAGGCATTTTAGAATTCCATTTCCAGTGCTTCAAAAATTTACAATAGCACGAGTAAAAGCTGGAGAACAAGAATTATTTTTGAGGAGATTGCAGATCCCATGCAGTCAGTATTGCGGTTTTTTATTTAGTTTTGCAGCCCCAAACTAAATCCCATGACTCACAGAGATGGACTCCTCCATGTCTCGTCTGTTGAGCATTGCGTGATTGATATGAAGAATGATCCAGTCAAACAGAGCACCGTATAAAGATTTGGCCATGGAGTCTCGCATTGCAATAGCCTGAAAGCACAAGAATACCAAACAAAGCAGGTAAATAATACTACTCATCATGGATGGCACCGCAGATCTCAGAGCTCTGCAGTACTTTTGCTTTATATTCTTCTTAGGACTTTAGATTTTATATTTATTGCTTACTAACTCTGTTGCTGTCTTGTTGTCTAACCAACCCTTCGTGAGAACTGTGAGTTTCAAGAAACCAAGGCAAATTCCTCGTGTGTGCAAGCTCACTTGGCAATAAAGCTTTTCTGATTTGAACAAATAGAACTTAAATAGAGTGAAGTGGGAAAAAAACCCCCACAGTTAATGTACAACTAAAAGCCCACAATGCCAAACACAACTGATATTGCAATTTTCAGTCAAATTTAAATGTTCAAGGTAACAATCTGATTTGGATGAAGAGAGACTACCAAGAAAATGAAATTTGATAACTCAACCGAATCAGTATATTAACCTTCTGAACACCAGCACTTACAAAGAGGCTTGAAATGCATGCTGTCTTAAAAACAATAGCCAAAATGACACCATTTATAGGAGCCACGAACTGCAAGAACAGGAAAAGTTTTCTTTCTGATGGTCCTTGAACTGACCATGTTTAACTTTCAAATTAATTTGAAAAACTAACCAACTCTGAACTTAAAAAGTGTCCAGAGTGAGTAAAATTGTAACAGAAGAAAAACTTTTGGGGTTCAGACAGTTAAATGACTAAATAACTAAACGCCAATAGCCAGCTCTAATACTAAATGTAAAGTGTATACCTCTTGTAGTGTGTACTGTGAAACTACAGAGGAGCTGGCAGTCACTACTCTCCTCTTGGTCAAAGCCATCAGCAGGAGTTCATTTTTCACCTTGAAAAAAAAGGAAATACAAAACAGTTAAGACAAATCTTGAATTCTGTAAAACATGAATTTAACCCGAAAAACACTACCAAGTGCTGCATTAGACAAACAGGTAGAAACATGTTTTTTTTTTTAAATAATAGAAAAAATGGGTTTAGTGAAAGTGCTTTTAATTGTCTGTGATTGCATCCCAACTACCAGGTTTTGCTGAACTACATCAGAAATCAACTGGATATAATCAGCTGTTTATGAACAAACCTTTAACAGGTCTGACAGCGTAGACAAGACTTCAGCAGGTCCAGCCTCCAGGACCTGAGTGTCCTCTGACAGTGTGAACGTCACATTGCCCAAGTGCAGGATGGCAGAGATGATGGAAAATATGCTGCACAGTGGAAATACACACACACACAAACAAAAACAGTCATTAAGTGTTTATTTGTGTCAAATTACCACACCTGGCAACTAAATGTTGATCCAAGTCATCTCACCAAAATGTAATAAAATGTGTTTTAAACCCCTAGCAGCAGTTTCTGGGTTTTAGAGGAGCTCTTTTTTTCACTTTAAGGGTAAACACCTGCACCTCTAGATTAAAAAACAAAACAAAACAACAAAATGGAATCAACATGTAGAACATTTTCCCAAGTGCCCCTGGATGTTACCAAAAATCAGGAAAAAAAGGAATTCTAATTAAGATATTTTTCTACTTATACTTTTAATCAGTTTCAATATGTGTCTCCAATCTGCTCTGTGGAAATACAGCCTGCACACCAGTCAAGTTCAGCTGAAAAGTCTCTGAATTTTTGCCACTTGACTGCTGGTCACAGACGAGTCACTAATAGCATCCCGGTTAAATAGAGAAAAAGCAGATGTATTTGTTTTTTTTTTACAGAGTAAACGTATTTATTGCAAGCATTTAATTGCAATGTGTAAAGTGATTTTGATGAAATATTGCAATTTTGAGCTGAGATCTGTTTAAGGATACCAACGAAATAGCACGTCACACATGATTTGCTCAGAACATTAGGAAATTGAAAAAGATTCATATGAATTAGGTCATGATTCATAGTGTTTTTGCAGTTTCTGGCTCTGATAAATGGTGTTATTCTGGTCATTTTAAAAAAACTGACATACCTTCAAACCTGCCGGCAGGTTGTAAGGTTCAGGGGCTTAAGTATAAAAATATTAATTTCAACACCAAATCTGACTTGCTATTTTTGTATATTGTAAACTGTTTGCCCTTTAAGTCAGGTTGTATCGACTGGCATCTCATTTAAATCCTGTTCTGTGTTTTTTTTTAAATAGTAGCTCATCAGTGTGTCAAAGCGGAAGTGAGACTAACATCAGTATCTGTTAGGCTGATCATTGCTGTGTTGATGGGACACATATCAATGTTGCCTTCAAGGACATTTAGTACTGCAGAAACTAACCACAGCTGACAGTTGGCATATGCAATACTAATGTCTTACTTGCTACAATAGGAAACAAACATGAAAAACAAGCATTGCATGTAGTTCAAGAGCTTGTGAGCTAGTTCAGCATACTGGATATGTAAGGAAAAGTGCTTTCACTTTTATGCACTGTACTGCACAAGAAATTCTAAACTGAACTGCATTGGAACCGTCTGTTAAATTATCTATGGAGCCCTTAAGTAATGAAAAAATGGTTTGTAGTTCTAGTTGCATTTCCAACTATACATTGCTGTGAGTGGGTTTTCACCAGGAGAAGCGACTTGAAAAAGTAACTATGCTGCTGGTGCTTTAGAGCGTGAGCTGTGTCCTGAGGCTTTCAGGCACATGCTGACATAGTTGCTGCATTTTTCTCCTGTTTGACTTGACAAGCTCTGACGTGCTACTGACACCAGTATAGAAAACAGAAACCTGCGATGGCGTTCAGTTAAATGATTCACCCCTTCGCCTACTGTATCTGCACTGTTGTTAGATATGTACAGCTATTGTAACTGATTAAACTCGTGAAAACCCTGTCTGAAAGTCAGGATTAAATGTTACTGGCAAGAAAGGAAAATGATTATTATCTAGAAACCTTTTTTTTTTCTTCTCTTCCCTGGATATTTCTAAGCAGACACATATTTTTCAGACAAAGTGTTTTGGATGTTTATATCACAGTGGTTCATTGATTTATCCTGTTGATCTTTACCTCCACGTACATAGCTACATTGGTTAGTTTTACCAAAGTCTGTAGCGTTTTAGCTATGTTGCTCATTAGTACAACCATACATACTGTTTCTTTGTGGAATCCAGAAAGCCAACCATCTCCATTGCTTGATGGAGCCTCTTGTACTCCTGCCCAAGGTTCTTGTCATCGTCTAAATCAAGGTCCTCCTGTACAACAGGCAGAGAAGATATGGAGAGAGGGGGTGAATACTAAGACTAGCTAAGGAGGTGTATGCATGGATGCAGATTCCTCTGTCATTGCAAATTGTCCACACATAACATAGAAACAAGACAGTGAACCCATCACTTTTCTTCAGCGGTCTTCATAACATTTAATTATTCATTAGCTATCTATGCAATACACCTAGTGTGTTTCCATCATTTTAAACATAGTTATTATTAGACATTGCATTTTGTATTTCAACCATAGGTCCCTTTCCAGTTAATAGTTCTCATGGCTTCATGTATAAAGCAACAACAAACAACAGTCTAAATCTTAACTAATATCAGCTTATCAAACTGTCCAAATAGCCTAGTTTATGTAGTTGCTGCTGTTGCTTCGTTAGTTATTGAACATAACGCTTACTTTGGAGATGTTCATATGGATCCTGCTGCTGCTGTCTCCATGGGATAATTTATATTTATAAGTATTTAGTTAAGTTACCAATGATGTTGTTCAACATGTGCACATGTGTGCAGTGACAGCTGTTGCTGTCTGATGCATCAGGTATCTGATGAACTCAGGGGGAAAAAATACATATAGCTGCAATCAACAAACTAAACCTCTGCTGCTGTTGAAATCTTGTAAGCTCTTAGTGTCTGTTTTTAGTCACACTAAAGTTTTTTTTTTTTTTTTTTAATTTTTAAACTTCAAGTGCATCCTCACATATGTAAAATTGAAACTGTATCCTTTGCACTTCTAGTGATGTTTCTGAAAAAATATTGGTGCTGAATTGTGATTAAAGCCTTTTCTTAATCACTTCACACAACTCAAAGTATGTGCCTATCTGTATATGTGACTGGATGCATGTCAGACTTGTGCCGTGTTGACAGTGACACTGAAATGTTTCAAGGATGTCCATTAGACAGAAGGCCAACATGTTTAGTTGAAGTCAGATTAATGGAACTGAGTGCAGGTCTGAAAGCACATTAGTCATTTATAAATCTGTGTTTTAAATTAACTTGGTGATTTAGCATTCCACAAGTTGTGTTGACACTGGGCTACCAATGCCAAGAGTGGTAACTCCTTAAAATGGCAGTTTAGTTACTGCATCATCAGTAATATACAAACTTCTGTATATTGGACAATATATGTTCCAATATTGGCCAAGTAGATCAAATAATCTGTGATTATGAGTGAGTTGGGAAAAAAAGTGAAGCCATCATAAAGTCTCATCTTTGAACTCACATTTACACCAAAATGTACAATGCAGAAGTCAGCCAGTGATATTTTCTGAACCATAAGAAAGTGCATGTCACAATAATACAAAAGAACATATAAAATACTTTTTAACATGAAAGACTTTATCACAAAAATGAAAAGCAGTCATTTTCACTTAACTTTCATAACTGATTGAGCAGGTATGACAAGTGGTACCACCTTCCTACGCTAAGTAATACGAGATAACATGTTGTGAATTGGTACTATATAAATAAAGTTCAATCAAATAAACTGAACCCATAATCAAAGATTATTTAATCTACCACAATATTGTAGATTCTGAGTAGAATAGAGTGATGAGAAAAAGAAATTAAAAATCTGTGGGACAATGGGAAGTTTTCAAAAAAGAAACAACAAAAAAACGTTATCTCTAAAACCTTACAAATATCTTTATACATATCAAATGACACATTGTGTGTTATGCTTGTTCCTCCCTTCCTCCATCCCTGTGGCTGTAAAATGTGTAGATCAAAGGTACCTGGTTGAGGTAGAGATAATCCTGAGGCTTTAATAGATGAAACGCCTCTTTTTCATCTTTGGACGCACCCATCAGCAGGTAGTAGAACACATGGTAGTTCCTGGGGGTCAGAGGTCACAGAGAACTGATAGTCAGTCAGGGCTCATATGAATTTCATTTCAACTCTGTTACTGACTGAAAATTTCACTGCAGGGTGGTTTATTTGAACTGATCCCATCCAAAGTGCTTAGAATGTGGTCTATTTTTACAGATTTGTGTTAGAGATCAGGGTTCAGCTACAGCCTGGTGACAATGTGAGCTAGGTTGGTATCAGAATATTCATTTCATGCCCAGATTGTGAAGTAAAATATAAGAAGGGTGCAAATTTGAAATGCCATCTATTTGAATTATACCTCTCACTCTTATCTCTAGACACCAGGCGACCTTTTTCCAGTAGGTACTTCTCAATAACTGCCCTGCAAAAGACATGGAAGAGGAAGAGAATGTTAACAAACCTGGAAAGTTTCAGAGTTGTTAACAACATTGCCCACTTATGACTTTGGAAGAAAACTAACAGTTACACAAAACAAATCAACCAAGGTAAACAGATAACTGTGCAGCAGAAGCCCTAAAATTCACTTGGTGAAAGTTGGTAAGAAAAACACAACACAATGCCTCACCCTCTGATGACACCACTTTCCAGGTAGTTGAGCTGGATTAACTTCCCAAAGCGACTGGAGTTGTTATTCTCTGCAGTCTTGGCGTTGCCAAAGGCCTGTTTAAAACATAAGCTTTTACTAAAATAAACAGAGAAATTTGTAGACATGTTTCCAACAGACACTGGCACCCACACGCAAACACTGTAAATGTTTGCTGCATGGGGGAGCTACCATATAAATCATTTAGGTTTGTGGATGGCAACTGTTTCTATTAGCAACCCTATATAATGACAAAGATCAAGTTGGTGTGGATGTGAATTAATTTTGTTCTGTTGTAGTACATAGCCTGTCTTATGAATTGAGAAGAACACAAATGAGATAGTACTGTAAGTACAGTAATAGTGGGCAGTATCAAAATGATGTAAGAAACAAATACACAATCCCCAAAGGGGCTTTTTGATGTTTTTTTGTGTGTGCATATATTAAAGCTTTTCGCCTTTAGGTTAAAATTCAACCACAAAATCAATATCACCTTAATTACAGACATTCAAGAAAGTCTTTTGTTCATTTGCCAGGGAGGCTTCTGAATAAGCAGAAGCATAATTACTTTTTTAGTGGGAAATGTTTTCTGTGTATTTTTTCCTTGGAATCGATTACATCTCAGTGAAAAATCTTTTGCTAAAGGAGGGCCAACAAAGAAAGTAAACTACTGCTGCTACTAGGTATTATCATTGGATAAACGATAGTGTAAATCAGCTATTGAAAAGGAACTAAAAATGATAAACACTCTTCAGATAAAGCAAACAATTTCAGCACAGTTTAGGTCATCATTTTTCAGCCTAAACAGTAAATTGAAAAACAAAGTATCACAAAAACTGATAAAAAATTATTATTTGCAGCCCCAGAGAAAACTTTACAATGATTTCAGTTGAACTCTGACTGTTTGCCATCAACAACACAACAGATTCCGCCCAGGCAAAGTCATTGGGCCTTAATGGCAGGATCGTACGGCCTTTTTAGCTGCTGCAGACTACAGCACGGCTTCTACTTTTCTAGGCTTTAACTTTTCTCAAAGAAAAAGAAAATCTAAACTGAGTCCACGTTGGCCTCTAAAGGTATTGCTGTACTTCATTCCAGCACAGGGGTTGTGTCCTAACAGGCCAGAGCAAGGCCGACAGCGAGCTCGCACTGCATACTGCGTTGATCCCTCGCTGGCAGGGACAGCTTGAATTCAAGGGAATGTCCCTACCCAGTGCACCTCTCTAAATACAGTGGAGGGTTTGCCAAACATGCAAAATCAATCAAATTCATACAAAGGACCTGGATGCAGCAGCACAAAAATGAAAGGTATGTGGAGAGAACAATGCAGATGGCATTTGGTGTAGAAAGAGAAACAGCTGTTTGGCATGTCCGAGTTTAGGAGCTGGATCCCATGAAGGCCGTGATAATGAAGGTGGGTCCTTCAGAGCTTACCCTAAGAAATTTTTCTTTTTCCTTTAAAGACACAAAAATGTCTGCATGCAATGACACATTTAGGAAGACCTGCAGACCACTTGTACAATTCATAACTGTTACAATGTGGTAAATATCAAAATGCAAAACAAGTCTGATGAAATCTGAATGTAATGATGGATAACAATTTCATTTTTAAAGTGACTACCTGATTTATAAAAGTTCCAAAGTGCAGTTGTTATTTTTTATTGATAATGAAAAGTCGTCTTTTTTTGTTGTTGACTGAATTCCAACTAAACAAACAACTTAAGGACACTACCAAGTTGATAATTTTGATGTTCATGTTTCACTACTTTCTGCCAACAAACAAAAAACTATAGATTTTATGCCTGACATTATATATTTACATCATGGAGTGGATCTTTTATTCATTCTATATGGTGGTTCCCCAATTTGTGTGTAAAACAGCTCAGGAACCTTGTTGCTACTGGTTTAATATGACTGTAGGTTTTAACCAGGTCAACTACAGAGCAATGTTTTCCCCCTCTACAATGAAATACATTTCAGGAGTATCAAGTTTAGTAACATCCCTGCAATTCACAAGTGCACCAGTAAGACAAAACATATGTAAAAGGGTATGTAAAAAGGTATCAGATTTATCTTGCAGCCTCTTAAACTGGTCTCAATGACCAGGTGGGGAACCGCTGGTTTTGTTCAACTGATACAATTGGCGCCAAAATGGCATTGAGAATGCTTTCAAATATTATACGTGGGACTGAAATTTGCCCTAAATGTAAACCTCTAAAAATTCATGCTCCCTGAATTAAACGCAGCAGAACGGAGAAGGGAGAAAGAGTGCCTTTGTGAAAAGGGGTTTAAAGCTGTGAGAGAGAGAAAGGAGTTGATTTATACTTTGTTGCATAGGTTTGCCAGCAAACCTGGCTGAGCCTGTTCTGACACGTTCCTGTTTCTCCTCTCTCTTTGGTGTTCCCTCAGAGACAACGCCCTGCACATTCCCCCTGTGGAGCTCAGCACTCAGCTTCCTTATCACCAACACAAACCTCGAGCAACAACCACCTAAGTCAGTCAGTCAGTCAGTCAGTCAGTCAGTCAGTCTGGCAAACAGCACTTTTAATGAGCGCAAGGTGCTATCACCTGCTGGCTTTTGACTGCAGATTTTTTTCCCCTGATCTTCAAGTCAAACACTATGCAAAATAAGATATCGTCCTTAGCACTTACAACATTCTAAACAAGCAATTGGCTGTTTTCTAGCACCAGAGAGATCAAAATCGTATGTAGTTGATCCATACCGACAGCAGGTGACAAAACATAGAATTAAAAGCTAGAAAGAAAAAAAAAGGAGTAAGTCATAAAGTGTGACTCGTGAACACAAAGGAAATCCTAGAATGGCTAAAAGAGGCTTAGGGAACCATAAATACCCCAAGCAGCATAAACCATCAAGTGATTCTAATTACTACAGCAGTAACTTTTTTTCGTGGTGTAATCACTTGTGCATTGCGTTCTCTGGTTAAATTGAGGGCAGCTGTTTGTTGTGGTGTGAGATCCCACGCTTCAGTCAGTTTTCTCTCGTTTTCTCAGTTAAAAAAATAAATAAATCACACAACAAGCCATGCTCTTTCCTCAAGCTAACCTCAGCTAAATCTGTGGTTCCTTAATAGTCCACTGGGAGCAGGGAACAAAACAACAAAATGCCAGTCAGATCAGTTCACAGGAAAAATGCTTAAGCTATTGCTAATTTCAAGGAGAAACTTGCTGGACTTGTTCAGAGGAAAGACGTATATTTAGTCACTGTGTAATAAAAGGCTGGCCTCTTGGGATTGTGTTTGTGACTGGTAACACACACATACCAAACACAAAGTGTGCTAAGATTGTTTGTGTAAAACATTCACTGCTGCGCTGACAGAGGTAAACCATGCACATGTGCAGAGATCTGAAGATGTTAGGTTAAATCTCCACACCTACTACACATTTCGGAACAGATTGAAACGATGCAAAGTAAAGAGCCACAGGCTGTAGATAAAACTGTTCTTACGGTAACTGTTAGTTATTTAGTTTCCCAATACCACACAGTAAATGAAGTGAAACCCACTAATACCCGGCTTTAAACTTCCCGATTTGTTCTCAGGCCTTAAATTTTGAAACCCAATCCACTAAATACAAACTTTGATAGCTTTCAAACAGAGGGTATTCCCCTTTAAAGGCAATTTGCCTAGTTTCAAGTCAGTTATCACTTAAACACAATGTGCAATTGTGCAACAGATGACTGAAACAGAAAGCAAGGGGAAATGTGGGCATATGTGGCGTCCTGTTACTCATTGACAGCAACTGTAGCGCAGCGCTGATGTGACAGAAACAACAAAGACACCAGTGACACTGTAGTTATGTGTTAAAAAGAAGTGTGGAATTTCCAGCCGGCAGATTTTTGTTTTGCAATTTGGTGCTTTTTGATTTGTGGTAATGTCTAAGCTTCACTTATAACCAAGTGTGAGAAAAAACAACTGTGTAAACACTGATATTTACGTCTATCACAGCTCGTAAAATTGCACCGTTTTTAACACGTTTGCCTACAAATATCTGAAACAACTTTTTTGGATTACCTCACTCAGGCTCTTGTGGTTATTTTTAATTATGCTGCATTTTAATTGCAGGAAGTGCATAACAAACGGAAGTGGTTTCAGCCTTCTGTTTCTGAAAGAAATGATTAGCAGGTCTAAAAAAAAAAAAAAAAAAACATGTGAAACTAAGTTGGGCACTTTGACAACGCTTCCTCAACTAGCCACAAACCAACGACAAAAAATCACCCACATTAATTTGGCCATCAGCAAACTAATGTCACCACGAGTCCTGATCTGCCATCCTGACTTCACAAACCCCACCCTAATCAGACTGCAGCGAAAGCAAATGATCAGCTTTCCTCAGGCATTTAGATAATCATTCTTTAAGTCAATCCAGGACTGACTGTGGCAACAAAGCTGCAAACAACAGCTTTATTTAGGGTGTGAAGTTCCTGAGTATTTCCCAGGAAACTGGTCATTTGTCGAAACCAGAATATTTGGGACAGTTTTACTTTCTAACAACTAAAATCAATGATTTACCAAGATTTGAGCTAAAATTATTAACTTGATGAATTGACATTACATTTTTAGTAAATATTTTGATAACTTAAAGCCGTTTTTCCTCAAGCAAAAATGCTAAAAATTCACTGGTTTTCTTGATTTGACAGTTTGTTGTGAATGGAAATGTATTTGTGGTATTTGTGGCTGCCTGAAGACATCACTCCAAGGTTTAAGAAACAGTAAATGGCATTTTGCAGTGTTTTACTGATAATCTGAGGTGATCTGTGTCAGATGGCAAACAGTCCTAAGAGAGAAACCCTTTGAGGTCTTGTTTTCTCCTCAGGGCTCACAGTGTGGACTACCACACCAGAATTTGATGCCAGCTGTTTCAGCAAGAGTCCTGCAGCTTTATATCACGGTGACCTACCTCTAACACCGGGCCGGCCCCTAGGATGGTCCGTTCCAGCCCGCTGGAGTATGTCTTCTGGCTGAGTCCAGTCAGGCAGTGGATGAGATAACTGCTGCTTTCAGTCTTCCCTGAACCACTCTCACCAGATATCACAATGCACTGGTTAACCTGCCTGTTCAGCATCGCACGGAAGGCCACGTCGGCTATGGCAAATATATGAGGGCTTAGTTTGCCCAGTGGCTGGTTCTCGTACATCTTGATATACTTGGGGTTGTAGTAAACTGGCAGGAACTTATTGGGATTAATGGCTATGAGGATGTTGCTGGCATAGGTGTAGATTTTGTACTTGTAGAAGCGCTGGCGTAAAACGGCCACAACACTCTCCTCAGTCACAGTGGGGAGGTTGCAGAGGTCATCATAATCCTCTTTGCTGGTTTCTGCTTGCTTTCCTCCACTGTTGGCCTGCTGCTCCTGCAGAATGAAGTAGTACCCTTGGCTCCGAGGGTGCCACTTCTGTGTCTCTGGGGGCCACAGCAGGACCCGGTCCAAGGGGCAGTCCTCAGCCTCCAGCGGCCTCTCCTCTCCACCGCTCTCCCTCATCTCCAGGAGGCAGTACTTCAGGCTGGAGTCCAGGCCCAAAGTGACCACGGCGTTGTTGATGACCCCATCCGCCGTGTCTCCAGCGCTGACCTGCAGGGGACAGTAGGCAGCTGTGTCCTGGGCCAGCCTGGGGTAGATCTGCACAACATGGGCCTCTCCATCCTGATCAGAGAGCCCTGCTCCACCTGTAGTGCTCATCCTGATGCTCAGAGACAAGCCTCAGCATAACTCACTGCCCACTGCAAAAACACACCAAATGCTAGTTTAAAAAACAAACAAAAAAACAAACAAAGACACTGGAAATTATGTTTAAAGTACAAGAAAATGCCATTTTGTTTCACTCCCGCCCACAGTGTCCACAGTAAACGCCATGCTGCTCTAACACCCACTATCACATTTCCTTTCCATTATTACCATCTGTATTCCCGCATAAACATCCATCCAGGTGACACATAACAAACAGTAACAGCTTTATAACAGGCCCAAAATATCAAAATAAGTCTCACCTGTCGTGGAAAACGCGTCATTTCATCTTTAAAAGCCAAAATATCGTTGACAGCGAACAGAAACGGAAGATCTCCGCAGCTCCGGGAAGCCTGAACGAACTCCAATCACACAACTTGGAAAAAAAAAAAAAAAAAAATCTTCACCTGAGCTTCTCCCCCCCAAAAAAAAGGTGAGCCCGGAGAGTGCTAAAGCGAGTTTTAAATGACGGGGAAGTAATTTCCCAATAGTTCGGCGTCGTTATTGCTCGTATAAATCACAGCTTCTTAGAGAAACTCAAGATGAACGTGTCCTCGTCGTCCCGGTCGGAGAGTTACTTACTTCCTACATTTCTGCACACACACGCACTGACAGCAATACACCCGTCGACGAGGTGGAGAATAAATGGATTGCTTCCTCTTCACTGGTCTGAGAGATGTAGCCTTTTAGCCAACAGGAGATAAAACTGCAGAGGAAGAACAGGGCAGAGGAGGTGACAGCGGAGCCCACCGAGGAGGAGAACTTAATAGACGGAACACTTTAATTGATTTAATTTGTTGCTTCAGGTGAGCTGTGGGCTTTGAGCGCCCCGCAGTGGCCGGTGGTGGTATTACAGGCAGCTAATAGCACTGGTCTCTGCAGGTTCTGTCAAGTTTAGAGATACTTCTGCTTCTCCTTGACTATTTCTACTTTTTTTTTTACTGTGAACTTCTGCTTCATTTTTGCATCTTTAGTAACTATTCACGTTTTCAGATGAAGATTTAACGTGCAGTATCTATAAGAAACAGAAAACACATGTCACCCATATCGCAACAGGTCAAATCCTGGAATGATATTAAGTCAAGTCAAGAGTCAAGAACTTTATTGCCATATGTACACACACACTTGCAATTCTGTACAGAGGAACTTTTTGTGCAGGGCTAAAAGAGCTGGGGAAAATAAGGACTTTAAGGAACTGAAACACAATTCATTGTTGGTTTGTCACAATCATCTGACTGCTGTAGTTGTTAGTGTCTTTGGATTTTAAGATCTTGTACACAATTTTAAACATGATTAATTAAAAAATAAAAAATAAATTAAATTGCTGCATCTTCAGTGTTTCTGCTTTTATGTCTTTTCGATAAAGAAACTGAACAACTTCTGTGCTAAAAACATTTATTCAGACTGTTGGGCTGAAACTTGGGCTGATTACAATAAACTTTTCCTGGTTGGTTTGTGGGCTGCAAGGTGGAGTGGTGGTCAGCACCGTTGCCTCGCAGAAGGGTGCTGGTTCGCGTCCCGGCGAGGACACCCAGGATCTTTCTGCGTTTGTATGTTCTCCCCGTGCAGCGTGGGTTCTTCCCGGGTTCTTCGGCTTCCTCCCACACAGTCCAAAAACATGTTGAGGTTAATTGGTGATTCTAAATTGTCTGTAGGTGTGAATGTGAGTGTGCTTGGTTGGCTGCCTTGGTTGGCTGCCTTCACCCTAAGTCAGATGGGATAGCCCCCCCGCAACCCTAGTGAGAATTAAGCGGTGTATAGATAATGGATGGATGGATGGATGTTTGTTTAAATAAAGACCTAACTAGAGAGAGCTGTCAAACATTAGCAGTGATTTGTATAAGTGTGCTCGTTCTTGACACGATACAGCAATTTAAATATGAGTTAAAAAAAATGCAAACTATGGATTCTTTTTCAACATCTAAATCGACAATTTGTCATTTTGTTATTTCTGTTAATAAATGATAACTTCTCTGAAAATGAACTTAATTGCTAATAAAGCTCCCCATTTTTATTTATTTATTTAAATTGATATACACTGTAACCTAAAATAAAGACTAGAAATAAAATTGTTTTGATCTAAATTAACCTTTATTTTCATGTCTCTTTCAGTGTGAAACTTATGTATTCATAAAATAATTTAACTGATGTTTGGTGGGATGTAAAATAAGTTTATTCTAAATAGCAAGTGGTTTTTAGAGCTGGTGAAGCTTTTTGTGATAGCAAATCCTTATAATGTGTCTGTAAATGATCCTGTTGGACAATGACTGGAAGTTATGATACTCAATAGAGATGAAGCTGCATGTGTCAGTCAGTAATGAATCTGTTAGAGGTTACTTTACGTCAATTGGATACTAGCTTTATGTTGCACTTCTTTTATAGAGGTGAGGGATGTGATAAAAGCAACACATGCATACCATTATGCAAATCGGTTCAAATATAAAGCAAACCTTTGTTCCCCTGCAGCTCTCTGTGTTTCAGTTAAGGCTGTGTCACAGATTCATTCAACGCAGTGACATAATCAAAGCTGAAATTCAGCTGTAACGTGCAAGCGTGGCAGCATTATGCAAATGAATGTCTGCAGTGAGCTCATACAGGCGACAAGATCTGTCTTCGCAAACTTTTATCATCAGTCAATCATTTTTAGATCTAAAAACTCATTAATGAATCACTGGTGCTACTGCTGCTCTGTGACTGGCTGTTGTATGGAACCTGCACAAATGTGCACCAGTTTTTATTTTTTTTCCATTTCCTTGCTGTTAACCACAGTTTCACAGAAAGAAAAGTAGAGCTTGTGCCTTTTTTCAGGTGCACTTTACACCTTAAGCAGACAGTAAATACTGAGGTAAATTATACCGTGAAACAGCAAAAGTCGTCACGCACAAATAGATTAAAAACTCCAGCCTTAGATGCTCTCTTGCAGTTTAGCTGTGCACCACAGATGTGTACAGTGAATTTAATGAAAATCAATATGAAATTTTATTGCAGTTCAGACTTTTTTCTTTTTGAGCAAGCTATATTAATTTTTTGCACATCTCTGCAGATTTTTTAATGAACGAGTCTACAGGAAGATGGTCCAAGGTGAAAAGTAATTGTTCACACGGCACCTCGACAACTGAGGGCATCCGAAATCAATAGCATGTCTTATGATGATCAGTTTTACTTATGCTAATGCAGCGCCTGTCCATTCAGGTATATAATGACTGCAGAGGTGTTGAGCTGCTGTATCCCAATTTGGTGAAGACGCTTGCAGACACACTGACAGCTTATTATGGTGTGAGGAATGAAGAGAGGCGACGTAAAGTGTTACTCAGCACAAATCAGCTGCTGTTGATAACGACTACCTGCAGAGGCAGCCACATTCCCCCACACAGGAAGACAAATTAGGGCACGCGCGCACACACACACACACACACACACACACACACACACACGCACACACACACTGAGGTAGAGTAGAGGAACACACACTTCAGTTTTTTATGTCACCATTCCAGGTGAAATACTTGCTACTTAGGGTGTTTGTGGTCATTTCTAGTGTGTTAGTTCTGATTGCTTTAATGGGGACAATGCTGATGGCCTTGTTAGCACTGATGATGTCTTATTAGGTGTCACTCTTGTTCCTGCTGGACTGAGCCAGTTCTGCAAAGACACACTGAATCCAGTTCAGTAGGCACATGAGTACACAACCCAGAAAATGCCTCATTATCACACTCCCCAAAATGATGGGAAGCATAAATTTTAACAAGATGTGGTTCTATTTTAAATTGTAAAAGCTCAAACTAAATACAGGTTTGTCATACAAATATTTTTTCTAGAGACTAAACTTATTTTTATCTTCGACATTTTACAATTTCAATTGATAATTCCATCGAAAATAGACATACAGTGTTGACAAAACTTCGTAAATCACAGACTAGACTTTCTGTCATTCATTGATGCCCCTTTTTCTTCGTCTTCTTCTTCATAAAACCCCCATAAATCAAAAGAAGCTGACAACATAGTTTGTCTGGACATGCAAAGACTTTTAAAGCATTCCTCTTTGTTTTACAGTTCAGGTGCTTTTTCATCCCATGCATCTTTCTTCCTCTGTGTTTGGGGACGGCCAAGACTCTCAGGTATGCGGGAGCTCATTCTTTCATGTCAGACACTGAACTTAGCCACTGTGAACAATTCCTGTTTGGTTCAATGCTCACTAATGAGCTAAGTTCTGCATCTTCAGAAAAGTCATCCCAGAGTGGCGGTCGCAGCAGGAAATCTGAGCTCTGTGTGTCTCATTCTGCAAGAAAAAGGAATCCTTGTACAACTCAGAAACTTGTTCAGCTTTTTAATGGAGATTTTGAGTTAGCGTGATGTTGCAATCCCACTCAGTCCTGTAACAACATCTACTAAACCACTGGCTGCCTTCTTGCTGTGATTGATCCAAATGAAAAATCCAGGTTCACTGCAAACAAAGACACAGAGGTAATTTACTCATAAAAACAAACTGTATTAGTCTAATAAATTACGCTGGCCACTTACATGACATGAGATGAGTGGTGGGCCAGAGAGTTAGACCTCAGATTACTTTCAAATGCATTGACTGAATAGCTCTTTTCATGTTAGTAAGCCTCACATTGGCCGCTGTGGTGGAAAAAATATCCAGTCCTTTAAGTAAGTGAAAGTTGAAATACAAATCCAAATTAAAGTCCTTTATTCAAATGTGTACTTAGGTAAAGTACAATCTATTTGTAGCTAAATGCATGTGTGACATGAAAAGGACAAATGATTTTAATGCAGCAGAATGGCACCATTCAGTCCTGTATTATTATGCATAAGTTAGATGCTAGACTTCTGATGCATTGACATTTAAGGTGCAGTTTTGTTGCAGCCTGTTGTGGCAGGACTGCTGGAGAAGTTAATGTTCAACAGTTCGTTCTAATAAATAAACTGTGAAATCATAATTTGCAATTATTACTTTTAAATGATAAATGTAAGGTCATAAAAAGTTCAATATTTTCCCTCAAAATATATTAGAGTGGAGGCTTAAAGTGTCAAAAATGAAAATACCCAAGTAGACTACATCAATAATGTACTCAGTAAAGTTTCTATCCACCCAATCAAAGGCACTTACTACAGGTTCAAAGCAGGCCACCTCGATTCAAAGTTTGTCTTTGTGCAGCACGATCCTGTAAAGTTTAATGAAGTGCGTGTAAATTCAATGACGACCAAGTGTTTTATAAACTTCAAAACGCAGATATCAGCTTTCTCTTTTCACACGATGGGTACATTTCTTCCCTCCCCGGCTGTGAGGAGTCTCTGCCTTCATCATTTGTACTCATATGGTTTGTCTGAGCCTCAGGACACAGGCTCAGTTTTCAGAATAAACTGTTTGTCCACCCAAACAGCGGTGTCATGACATCACCGCTCAGTGGAAAACAACTTACTCTCACGTTTGTGCCGCCTCCATCTGCAGCCTTTGGAAAACTTCTCACTAAGGCAAGTATAACTGTGTCTTGATCTTCTTAGTTGATCAGTTTACTTCTTTCTGTTTAATCAAACTGCAGGATTGGACTGCATGATCATGTGCTGTCTCTCCACTCCCCCAAAATACACTGATTTAATCATAGCAAATGAACAATAATAGGACTAAATGGGCCTATTAATAAGAGAATTCTGTAAATTCTTCATCACTTCTTTAGGGTTGTTACCCAACTAAGTCATCGTCATACCGCTGCTTTTAAAATGACTTGGATTTCACAGTCTCACGGTGGCACAAATCGTGTAAACACAACCCAATAGTTGGATTAGTTTCAAGGGTATCGGTGTCCAAGTGAAGTTACCTGAGCTTGACTGCCATTATGTCATTTTTCACCCTGCTTTAGGAGAAGAAAAGGCATTTGCAGCCTTTGTCGTCCTGCCACTGCTTCCTCTCCTGTGGAGAAAAAGTGTGATGATCCATGTTGGGCTTAAATAAGCAGGATAACAAAGCCTCCACTATGACATTCACACATGAATTTATTCAGCTTCTTCAGAATCGGTCTGCTCAGGTTAACGGTCTCTTCCAGAAGGGTGAACCAAGCAGCACATTTAAGAGTTGTTATGGGAAAAATGGATTGAAGAGAAGGATAGAGAAAGATGGAAAAGTGGCACAGCCAAAAACAGTCTATACTACAGTTGGCAGCAACGTACTCCGCAAAACATTCCATTAATAAGAAAAATATGCACTTAAGTGTATTATTCCAACACATGATATTGATTTGTTTGTTGCATCACACCTTGCGTGACTCCTCTGTTGACCAAGCAAGAAACCAACCTTGATCTAGTTAGAAAAAGCGCCTGTTAAAGATGTGAATCTCAGCTTACCAGTTTGGAAGGAAAAAAGCGGGCTGATGAGACAGAGAGAGGCCCTCAGTGTGTTCAAACCCCGATCACTCTCTGCAGGTTTCTCTGTTTGCTGTTGCATGTTCTTAGCAAGACAGCGCTGCTCGCTGCTCCTCAAGCTGTTCAGTGTGAGGTGTGGGTGAATGAGGGGGGAGCATGTGTGAAAAGAGAGAAGGCACAAAGGAGGGAAGGGGAGGGAAGGGGAGGGAGAGATGGGAGGGAGGGAGGGAGAGAGGATGATGGGACAGGTGTGGAATTTACACACCCTGCTGGTAGTGCGCGCTGTTGGCATATTTGCTTCAGTGTGATGAGTCACCCTTGTTATGGTGGAAGTGAGAGAAAATGAGATGGAGATACTGAAATGCTGAACTATAACGGAGGGAAAAGTCTGCAGGATGTGACATCGTTTCTGTCAGGCCAAGGTTTGGAGTTTTAAACTGTTAGTTAAAGGATTTTGTAAGTCTTAGTGCTTAGCATTACAATTCTGTGAGGAATAAACATGTATTTTAAATGTATCTGAGTGGTAAGAGAAAAAAGTCATTTCCCTTATCAAACAAAAGACACCCATGCTATATGAAAATATAGTGAACAAAATCATTTTGAGCAAATCATTTAAACTGCCAGTCCCTCTCAAACGCCCCAAAAAACTACAACAGTTACTTTTTTCTGTTTCTATGACAAGGAATTAAGATAAAACAAATCTTACTAAAGCATTATATCATGTTTAACAGGGATCATAAATGATCATAATACTAATGCAGTTACCAACTTTAATATGTTTAATATGCTCTGTTGGTAGAAGTTATTTTTGTAAGTATTAAATGCGAAACTCTAAAATGGCTTTTAATTTGCATAAATCAAATAAATTAGCTCCAGAATAAAGTTCCCAATCGGCTGAAAGTGGTCAATTTAGCTGATAGAAAAGATCTGTAATCTCCTAATTAGAACAAGTTTGATATGAATACGGATTTCATTACAATCAGAATGGCTACTGTAGTTTGTATTGAGTCAGTCCCAGTTACTGTGAACTGGATCTGTAAATACTCATTACATTATCAAATCTGTATTAACCCACGGCTATAACTGATCCCTCCACATAACACTTTTTTGGTCTAGTTTTAGTAAAGTTTACTAAAATGTATAGTACTCAGCTCTTAAAATGAGTCTTTCCTAAAACTAAAATAATTTGTTGCAGACCAGTTACAAAGAATTCTGTGTTCACTATAGAAACAAATGGGTTTGTGGCCAAGAGCTACATAAAGGTCAGGAAGTACTGAGATATGAACTAATACATGGTTGGTTTTATTTTTTCCAGAGTGGCACAACAAGAATTTAGAACAACTTTAAACACCAGCATTATTCTTGAAGGAAATTCTCCTCAATCTAACTAAAAAAAAGCTATTCAATAGGTTGAGACCCTTCTACTGTATCCTACTGCAAGTTAAATTCTGCCAGCAAGTTACCATGTATAATTATACTGTTTAATTTCTTACTTCTTCGTCTTCTCTTTCTTGTTTCCCTCTGCAATATCTGATCAGAAATGTTTGCTGGAAGGCAAGAATTTAAATGATCAAAAGTTTGTTTCAAGTTACAAAATCGACTTCTTGCACTCTTTTTCTTAGTATTCTACTTGTCAAGTATTTTCCTGATGTGTTTTTTATTCTTTTGAAAACTCTGTCCAGTGCTAACAAAGCATAGGCCCTGGAAAACGTTCACCCTCCATCACATCAGGACCCTCATGTCAGTCAACATTCCCTCCATGTACGTTCAGCCCTCTCTCCATCAGGATGATTGTTTTGATTTGACAGCTGCAACCTGATATGCCTCCATACATGGTTGCTACATGTCGCTGTCCCTCTACAGTGGAGCAGCAGGCCTGAAACAAAACAGGGAGGCTGTCTAGAGTTGTTTTTCTCCCCTCGCCTTTTAAGAGCACTCTGCAGCGCACTCCTCTCTGGCCCCTAATGCACCCGGTCCATTTAGCAAGGCAAAGCTGTGAAACCCAAGATCACAGGCATGGTCAAAAACAATTTCACCCTCTGATTGAGCCAATATCTACTTTACATTTTCAGGCGAAACAGAAATCTGATATGGCTTACTGTACACATTTTGCATTTCAGAATTTGCTATAGCAAAAAATTCACAGAGTTTCAGAGATTCGTGACTGTTCTTTCTGTCCGAGATTTTTATTTGACCTCATAACCTCAACTACTAAAGACACAAACGTATTAGTATGGGAGAGAAAACGCACATTCTCTGTATTACATCCAGCAGCAACTCCTCTATGATCCGATCTGTGTGGTTTCTCAGAGGTCATTGTTTTGAAGCGAGAGTTGCCCCGAGCACAAAGAGATGAGGCGGCTTCTGTGTGAAACCAGATCCGGTCTGGAGTGATGGGCAGCGCATGGCGGGCAGTCCTGGATGCATTAGCCCAGGCTAATGGGCTAGCTGGCTCCGAGAAGCCTGACTGTCCATTATGTGCAGCTACGGCTGGAAGAGTTTAAAGGAAAACTGCTTTTGACTGCTCTGATGTCCAACAAATTCTAAAGACTCACATCATTATGTGATGTGGATTTTTGAAATAATTATTTCTCCTGGACATTCAGACTGTTTATTGACATGTTAGTGAATTGTAGTTATTTTTGCTATTTAAAAAAAACTACATTCTCTGCTAATTTAGGTTGGACTGTCGTGCCAGTCAGCCTGTTGGTGGTTGGTTCACTACTTCTTGTCCACACTAAAATGTCTCAACAGTAATTGAAATTTTGTGCAAAAATCCATTTTGCCCCTCTACTGCTCATCTGGCAGCACCAGCAGGTCGATGTTTACATTTATCCAGTTTGCATCTCAGTCTGCTGTGGATTGGCACTGCATATACACATTCATGTTTCCAAGATGATGAATCTTGATAAATTTGGTAACCTCCATGAAGGAAACAACCACAAAGGTACTACTAGACTGACATTTTGTCCAATCTGACATTCAGAAAAAATGACAAATTACAGAAGAGCAACATGACACCCGGGTCACACAGAAGAGGACTGATAATAGTTTGACCAATGGTGGAAAAAATATTTTTCTGTCCTTGCACTGAGGTTCAGGACTTTGGCAGGGCTCTGGAGGAAGGTGTGTGAGCGTTAAAAAGGCCACACAGATTGAAGATCTCTTTATGCAAAGAGAAGTGGATTGATATGCATGCTCTGCAGCATGCAAAGCCAACAGGCGTTTTGGAGTGAGTGAGTAATGTAATAGAACAGGAGCGAGAGAGAGTGCACTCAGGCGGCTGGTTTTTGGATGTACTGCAGGACTTTGGAGGATGTGCCGTAGAGGGTGCTGTTGCATTAATCAAATCTGGAGGTGATAAATGCCTGAATAAGAGCTTCAGCTGCCAAGAAAGAGAATTAAAATGAAGGACGGAGACAGACAGTGTTTTGGGGCGGAAAAGGTTGTTTCACTCAGTATGATTATCCACACTAACATCAAACACCTCAGCAACACAATTTCTGCTTCTACAGTTTACAATTTATATGTAATTATTTGGGATAATATAAACATAGTGGGAAATTTGAAAACATGCTATAAATCAAACAAGCTCAAAAACTGTAAAATCTTGTCAAGAAAAAAACAATATGTTAATGACTCACTGTTTACAGGTACAATTTATTCCTAGAAACAGATGACTTTGCAAAACTGTCAAGGATCATGAGTGCCACCTATTGATCATGATGAGAATGTACTTCTGAGATCATTCCAATCAATTTCATGCCTGCCTGCCTAAAAAATGGGTGAAAATGGGAACAATTTAGCAATGTTCTACACGCAAGATCATTTATTTAGCAAGCAGCTGCAGACTGTGCAACAAACATTTACCATCCTGGCATCCTGGACTCTCAGTGGAATCAGCAGATATCCAATTGCTTGAAGAACTGGAAAACAACATCTGTGAAAATGGATGGCCAACCTTTGACCCTCCCAGTGATTGGTGGGAGTCAGTTGCAATTGTGCACAGCGAGCTGCCAGGTCAGCTGCTACACTCCTGGCTGTGATGGAGGAATCACACAGGAAATGCAGACAGGCTAATTATAGTGAGTACATTTTAGGTGAAGATTTAAAACAAGTGTGTAAAGGTTGAAGATACAAGAATATCTGACTCCTGAATGAAAGTCTGAGCTGTGTTTGTGATAAACTCATCCCCAAGTCATTTTGTCTGTGCAAGAGATTAAGTATTTATTATTAGGTTTTATTATATCTATTAACAATTATTATCTATTTTATCAATCTATTTTTTCCCCCCTATCTTTTAATCACTTGACAAACTGCTATTCGATTCTATATGTTTTGCTTTTTTTAAAAAAAAAAACAAACAAATAACTACTATCTATAGGAATCATGCACGTCTTTTTAAAAAATTAACTGTTGTGTGCCCTAAATAACTGTATTAATGTGTTTTGTTTTTTTTTAAAAAAGAAAAAAATGCTATTTTATCTATCTACCTTAGAGTCATAGTGTCACAATTCCACATTTCTATTGGGCCTGAAACTTATTTTTGTGATAATCAGTTGATCTGTCTGTTTTAAAAATGCATTATCAGAAAAAAAAAGGAGCCAGATTGCCAATCAATGCCAATTAACTACAAATTTATGTTCCAACAACAAGCTAGTTGATTACTCATTGCTAATCATTGCAGCTCTAAACCCGCCACTGTGAATGTATGTGGTAATCTTTCCGTTGGTACAACCTCAGCTAGTAGCTGTCTCACCACCGTTTCCATTTCATTTTAATTTGCAGCTGTGACCACCAACTCAGTACCTTTGTTGCATAAATTATGTTCAGCACACTCAAAAAATCACACATATTTAGTCTGCATAAGTAAATAAAGTATACTTCATTTTGCCACCTTCTCAGCAAGAACACATGAAACGTTGAATCACTGTGACCCACAATGTCAACACTGAAAACTGGCATTTTTTTTAAAGAAACATAAGAAAAATTCGGAAGTCTGAAATTCACTCAGATGTTTCTGTCATGCTGCAGAAAATGCTACAAGCTGCTGTTGTCTAAAACATTCGGTCAACATGTGGCTCATTATCCAAAAGCTCTTTTAGTGAAAACATTGTTCTGACTGAAGCAGCTGCTGGT